GCATTTGTTTTGGTGTTTTACGGTAAATAGTATATATGCGCAGTTTCTTAGTCTATAGGCAGGGTCATGGATCGTAGTTGGGCAGGAGGTTAGTAATGACAGTCCATTTATTGCTTTGTAGAGAAATATCAGATTGTTCCTTAGCCTTCAGTGCAATGAAGATTCTAAATAGAGGTGCTTACATCTACTTGTGTAATCAAGAGTGGTGTCACTTCCTAGCAGTTGACGTGTAAAGCGTCTTTGAACATCTTCTACTTTTATTTTTTCTGTGGTATTTATATTAGAAAAGATAAAAGAGCAGTATTTTAGGGAAGGTCGTACACATGTTTTGTAAAGAGTAAGCTTAGCCTCTGTCGTGAAGAAATTTTCCGTTACGAGGCCAATTAGACGTCTAGCTTTAGAAATAATAGAGGAGTCATGTTTTTCAAAGTTTAGGCTTCCCGTGTAATTAATTCCTAGATCATGTACTGATTTGAGTGCCCGGACTTTACTTTTATTTCAGTGAAGCTGAAGTTCGTAGGGGTGCTTTCCAAAGTGCAAGATCCCGCATTTGTTGAGGTTAAATGGTAATTGCCACTTTTCGCTCCAGATAGTTAGGTTATTCAGATCATCTTGAATCAGGCGTACACTTTCACTTAGAACTTCAGGCTTATAGCTGTATACTATTTTGCGATCATTAGCATATAAGTATGGTTTCCCAGATTTTATGATGTTATATATATCGTTTATATACATGAGAAACAAAAGTGGACCTAATAAATTTCTCTGGATGACGCCACTAGTTATTGGTCTAGGTAATGAGAGACAGTCGTAGTACTTTACCATTTGTTTACGTCCCTTTAAGAATGAAACAAACCATGAATAGAGTGGGTTGTTGATTCCGAAGGACCGTAGTTTGGCTAGTAGCCGTTTGTGTGGAACCTTATCACAAGCTTTCCTAAAGTCTAACAATATGATTGATGCAGGGAGTCCATTGTCTCGTTTCAGAGTTATATCATTCATGTAGTCCATTAGGCATGTATCACATGATCTGGACCTAAGAAATCCATGTTGGGAGACCGAGATGAGATTATTAGTAATTACATGTTGGACTAACGCCGCCTTAACTACTTTCTCCATCACTCTAGACACCACTGAAGTTATGTTTATGGGTCGGTGATTTTCAACATTTGCTTCAGATCCTGTTTTAATTTTGGGAATGATGTGTTTAGTTTTCCAGGCAGTAGGGTAATGCGCTGTAGAGAGTGATATTGCAAATAGTTTGAGTAATAAAACACACATATCATCGCCTCCACGTTTTAGCATGCTAGCCGGAATACCATCTGGTCCATCAGTGTAGGAGTGTTTCAGTGTACTAATTGCCTTAGAGATATTCTGTACATTGTAGTCTACGTTAGTAATTTCACAGGCAGATGCTGTGATAAGTTCTGAATCATTAAGTGGTTTTTCATCAGTTAATGAGGAACAAAAGTGTTCATTAAATAGTTCCGTAACAAGTTTAGGATCTTCGTATACTTGTTTGTCTTTAATAAATATGTTTCCTCTCGACTTAGAACGTTTAAGTTTATTTTGAAAGAGTGTGGTGAGTGCTGAGGAGTTATTACTAAGTTCGACAGCACGTTTTTCCTGTTCGATTGCTTTTTGTGTACTTATTGTGTCTGTCTGGACAAGTATTTCTGTCATCGTTACTAAAAAGGTGAAGTCATTAGAGTTGTGGAACCGAGTACAATGTCTCTGCAGACGTCTTCCCGTACCGACCGGTATAAACAGATCTTTAGAAAACTTAGGTCTCCAGTACTCTAAAGGTGCGATTTTGTTGATGATACTTTCGATGTTGTGATAAAATATATTGGTTAGTGTGTCGGTATTGTTTGCAGTAAAGAATGTTCCCCAGTCAGTGCTTCTTAGGCAATTGTGAAAATTATTCCAATCTACCTTGCGGTAGTTTCTACGAAGGGTTACATTTTTACGTCTACCGTTTGTGTTTTTTATATTAAGGCTACATACGGCAGTGTTATGATCACTACCTGGAAACTTTTTTCCAATATACACAGTATTGGGGGTGAGGCCACTGGTAAAGACTAAGTCCAAGATATTTTGATGTCTGGTAGGGCTACTAACATATTGAGTCCACTGTCCTAGTTCTAGACATTCAATAAATGATTCATAACGTTTCGGAGCTTTGACTGGAAACCAAGAAATTTCAGGCATGTTGAAGTCACCACAAATGAGCTTGCCTGTGAATGGAAGGGATGACGCTAGTGTGAATACCTCTGATAATACTGATATTTCACCTGTAGTAACTTCTTATAGTGTTATGTTCGGACACTGTTCAATTTGACTCAAGATTCTGGTTCTGATATCAGCATCTTCGGAAGGTTGTAGGCTACACACGAATACGAGACATTTAAACTGATCTTCTGTCACAGTTGATATTTTGATGCGTTCACACTCATGATTTACTAAACCTGCATGCTTCAACCAGTAATCATCAGCTGCTTTTGTTATCTTCAGACATTGATAACGAATATTGAACAAGGATGACTGTTCAGCAAAGATCTGTGACAAAATCTCAATCGTTTCATCAAAAGAAAAGTCTCTTGGGTTCTTTGGAAGGATGAAATTACCGTAGCGCCCATGTTCAAACGTGCCAAGTTTTCTTAAGAGTATCATGAGCTTGGTGGGGTCATCAAGTTTTCTGAGGTCGACCTTGAATAAATCTTCATATTTCTTGAACCAGGTTTAAAAAGTAATATCAGCCGAACCATCGAAATTAAATTCATGGATAGAATTAATAATATGGTCGACAGAAGATTTGGAAGCATAATTTGTAGCACCATTTTGACTTAGATTCAATTTTTGGGTTAAAGACTCTATAATACGAACCTGGAACTGTTCTAAACGTTTTTCGTGACGCTCCAGCAAGGCTTCAAATTGTTCGAAGGTAAATCACATCTTGATAAGCTAAGCCCGTCGCCAGTTGATACGTCTTGTTGATTGAACGCTATATTCGTTTCCTAAGCTATTCTGGTAACCTGCATGCTAGAACTACTCAGCAACTTAAACACCAGAGAGAAGACGCAAGTATGAGAGAAACACTTTATTCCAACGTTCGTTCATGTACAGAAAATCATGGGTATTTATAGATGCTAGCGTCTCTTAAATCAACATCATATTTCAGCCAATCCGTTAACGATATATTGTGTTACCGACCAATAGTAGCACGCCACGCTGGAATTCTAGAATGTTCCATCATACTTTGATTGACTAGGGCTCTTCGGCTCCTTTTTGGGCCTCTGGAGGCTCCGTCGAAGTTCTCCGGAAGCCGACTGAACACTTACTAAAACCATTTACATTCATATCTTATTAAATATCAACACAGCTGATTAATTATTATTATTATAAGTGTTTATGTGAAACCATGTTTGGGGTGGAGATTCAGATAGAGAAGGTAGTCTCGATTACCTTTTGTGGCCGTCGCTAACTCAGTTATCCAGAAAGTTGTTCTGTAATTAGAGACCCACATCGTTTCATTCCTTTCATTGTTTTTGTGGTCTGAAAGCAGTGTGAGCTCAACAATCGTACAAGTCAATTTATTATCTGAGGTACCTAAACTAGGCCTGTTGTTGGACCGTTTATCTGTCACGCATCTTCAAGTAAAAGTCACATATTCAAATAATAAAAAAATTACCACAGCATTTGGGGCTGGTTATGTATGTATTTACAAATCGTTGGAACGGGCAAATTCACACAGCTCAATCTACAGGTCATCCTTCTCCTTGATTTTAACCCGATACTTTAGACTTCTTGACAATTCTAAGAGGAATATTTGACCTACACAACATTTGTGGCATCTGTATAAACTGATGATTTTTCTGTACTCGATTGCGAATTAATTACAAATCTCGAATATAATAATTTCGGTAGTGCTCAACTAGTTCTACATGATTTAACTTGGACTATTTAGGGACTTGGTGACTTCAACTTTCCAGCCGAAACAATGAACTTAACACTGCCATTGTCAACAACAAGGCATGAAAAGCACTACTGGACGTATATAATCGTTTTTGAGTGTGAAGTGAATTGCTGGAAGTTGTAAGTAAGGATAATATATGATCATTAAAATTATCGGAATTATTAGGATGACAAAGCTTATTACCCACGGTGAAATGCACAGTATTTTTGCAAACTGACTGGATGTGTCCAATTTTACCACAGTTGGAGAATTGAGCATTACGAAATACACATAAATTAGGTGTGTGGAATTTGCCATCGGAAAAACGTTTACCAAACTTGTGTATCACCTTCGTGACCTGCTTTTCAATTACTATCTGCAAAACCTTGAGTATGCATTGCACTTGGGTAACTACATAATGTAGTGGAGTTCTTGGTGTCCTGTTTCATAATTATTACATGGGGTTTCAGCATCTTGAAAGGAACACTTCGGTACTCGTGTGAGCTGTCTTCCCAGACTAGATGTGTTAATCTCTGCAGTCAATCGATCCCTTAGCTGCACATAAAGCTGGTCACCAAAATTTCATTTGGCAGCTTGATTTCGTAATTTAAGAATAAACTCTTTGGCGTTTTGATTGTGTTATTACCTTAAAAAACGTATTTAGTCGCGTGAAGGTGTACAAAAAGGGATATGATAATAGAATTTGAATTAGTCTAGGAGCTCTGAACTTGCAGTCGGTACGGTACAGAAAAAATAGGGTAGATATGACTACTGTGCATCATATCACTCAATAATAAATCCCATATGACTAACCTCTTATGCATTTTATTAATGAACACACAAAGAGACATCCATGCTGGATAGAATACTTCAATAAAATTCGTTGAAACTTTCCCTTGGTCTTAATCACCAAACTACTGAACTTTTTGTTAGACGCAATAATATTAAAACCTGATCATTTTCTCTTCTGCCACCTAGTTGAAAATTCCAGAAGACAGATGAATCGTTAATTTCTACAAGAGAAGTCTGTACTTTGCAATTAGTCACACTATCAAATTTGAGCGCAACGGCGCTAAATGTCTGTGAAGGCCGCTTTGACTGACTTATGTTTAAGGAGGTTAAGCCTGAAGTGACTGATTTCATCGAACAAAGTAGAAAGCAAAGAACTGAACGGCGTGATGCAAAAGCTAAAGCGCTATCTGCTGTAGTCATCCAAGTTAGTTTAATCAGTGTTGTAGGATAGTTGTAGAAAAACTGGAGATGTTTCGTAGTCAGGAGAAATGTTATTCGAGGCTTTCGGTTTGTCCATTTTTAGGTAAACTCGTTATACTCAGCTCGGAGTTTGACCTCAAGATACTCGAAGGAAGTGATGTCAAAGTGACTCATTTAATTCCTGGTTTGTTAGATATTTACTCTTGTATTTTTGCTTTAAGCCACTGAACTCTTAAGGTATGTAAAGTATCTGAAGTTTCAATATAACTCGAAGCTGGATTACGAAGTAGGTTGCTTTTATCAAGGTTTAAGGCGTTTACTCTGTCTAGCGTTTTCTAGTTCTTATTCGATATATAGTGAATTCTGTGGATACCGGAGACTTTAAAGTATTTTACTTTGAATCACTCGTAATGTTCAGGTGTCTTATGTATCTCTTGCGTTAAGGAAACCTACACTGGTTGAATGGATAATTACAACGAAATGGTTATTTTCTACGGTTGCCGAACATATGAGTTCTTTAGATGTAAGTTATTGTCGGTACCATACATGTTTAGCCATCCATTCCTAGTGATTCCAAAGTTTTAAACTTATTTCTGTCATTCTTACTGATACATACCAATTGTTGTCAGTGGTCGCTGGTACAAGGTGAGTTTATTCTATAATGTTTTAGTGTTATTGTTATTCGGTTTCTGTACATTCGAGTCAAATTATTGAACTAGATGGACAAGTTTTCTGTATTTTGTTTGTTTTGATTTTTAGCATTCATTTTGTTAGGTTAGTTCATCATTAAGTTAGTCCATGTTAAACAAACTATAGAGCGATGTGCGACACCCAGAACTCAAAATGTTGATTATTGGGTTTCTGTTGCATTTGTACACTCTCTATTTTGTCCTTATCAGGGGAAAGATAACGTCATAATCTAGGGATAACATTACAGCATGTTTATGGGTTCTTTCGAGTAATTCATAAGTTCCATCATATATTGCTGAACACCTTGGTGTTAGATGTTTAGATTTGTAACAAACATCATGTTGAGTTTTTGAACTGTCGGACCTATGAAAGTAGATTTGAAAATATATACGGGTCTGAAAAGTGACTCGACATATCTCTTCTGTGTTAGATAGATTCTTATAATTTATGACCTAACAAAACGTTCAAAACGTACAGAATTTGTTTGTCAAGATGATGAAATGTATTTGAGTAGCCAAATAATGTTTCATTACAGTAATTAAGAACTGTAATTAAAAACCCAACGTTTCACATAGTACTTAGTGACATGAATGACTGGTGCCTTATAATCTAGTACAGTTGACTGGAACTAAAATTGTCTGAAGCGGTTTATAAGGGTTTGATGAACACAGGATTAATTACAATTTTTCTAGTCAACAATTCTAGAAACTTTTAGCGGTTTTCATGTTCATGATTTTTTATCTTTAAATCTATGCCTATAACGTCATAAGATATGTGGTTTTTTAATACCGCCTAGAGTCCTACGTGCTCAACATAGGCCTCATTTTTGATACGAGAGCTGTTATGAAGTCCCAACGTTGTTGGTTAATCCAAAAAACATGTTTTCTCAACGTGAAAGTAATTGACAAAACTATAACTCAAGTTCAGACAGTCTTCATTTAACACGACTTGGAGTTTAAACATAACCTTTCGTTTCTGTAAAATAAGTAGTGATGTACGAGGTGAAAGTCAGAGCGGTGGTCTGGTGGTTAAAGCATTAGGTTTTCAACCAACAGGTATCAGATTCAAACCTTGCCTCTTTAGCTAATACCAAGACCCCTCAACCAGTATGGTTCAAAGGTTAGTACATAAACCTGTACTTGGTGGTTGAGTTACATTCAGTAAGAATCAAGGTAATATGCACTATATAATAGTCTGACAAGTAAAGTAGCTCGTCATTTGTGTTTGAGACATGCGTCACTTATTTCAATCAAGGTGGCGCAATGCTGTCGTGGATAAACATAAGTATAGCTTAATAATAAACGCAAGAGCTTGTACTTAGCTGACGAAACGCATTGTCTACTAAATTATTTGTCTATACGTTATTTATTATTATTTATTTAAACACATATATAATGGTACAAAAGGGCACCAGATACATATGCGCCACACAAAATAATGAAAGTAGGAAGAGAAGGGATGAAAATATAAGACGGACTGAAATGTACAACCAGAAGACTCTTTCAGTTAAGAAAGTTAGAACCACTCTTTATGTAGAAAGTAAAAGAAGGTTGCAGCAGGTTCGCCACTGGCTTCTATTCTGAGCCATATCTGATAACGTCTCTAGCCACTGTGTTGCACCATCTCTGCATCTGGTAACTGCCGGAAGCTCTTCCAACTCATCCGAGCCACTGGCAGCAAGAAGTCTGGTGTGAGTGAAACAATCTACGAGGATGATGGGATGCCCCCAAATGCCCTGGTACGGCCGAGAGTGGGGAGAGTCTACTCTCCCTCTCGAAATGCTCTCATATGGTCAGCGAATATATAGCCTCTGCCAGGGAAGTTCTACTCACTGCCTTCTCGTGGCTAGGGTGTTGTTTACGAAAGTGAGAGGACGAAAAGCGAATGTCCGGCGCTTTAACCGGATTGGTGGACACGGAGGGTCCACCTAGGGGAGTTGGAAAACCCTGATTCCAAACCAATGGTGCACATGGGCTCCAGTATCCTGATGGAACGAATGGCGGAAGAACCTGTCATTGGTCAACGGCTACCATGGGACTGCATCTCCTCACGATGCTCCGCTGCCTTGTGGATCAGACCTTTAGGTCAAAGGCTTGGGGTGTGGTCCCCTAAGAAAACCACCTGCTTCGGTTTGGGCACCCGGGCAGTATCACAGCCCACACACAAATAAATGAAATGATGAACTCTATTGACGATTCTATTCCTGCTCATATTATAAGCAAGACAATTTACATTATTATTATTATTATTATTATTATTATTATTATTATTATTATTATTATTATTATTATTACTTACCATATCGCTAATTCACCCCCTTTTATCCCCAATTTGTGTAACCTTCCTTTCCAACTTACGCAGCAGCTCGCCCATGGTGGAAAATCTGTCCTATCTAAACGATCTCTAGTCACTGTCTGGTTGCAAAGTGAATGCTTCCACTGATTACGAATACTGAAGCAGTCTTTCTGAAACCACGTACGCCGTTCAAGCTGGCTTCCTTCAACGTTCGCACACTAATGCAGAACGGACAACAGATGGGGCTGGCTATGTCTTTAGAAAGTCTTAATGTTGATGTTTGCTGTCTATCCGAGACCCGTATTCAAGACTCTAGTGAAGTACTACAAATTCGCTCTCCATCTGTCGCTTCGAAAAGCTTGTTTCACGTGCGCTTATCCGGGGACTCTGTGGCATCTTCGTCTGGTCTTGCAGGTGTTGGTGTTGCACTAAGCGCTAGAGCTGAGGCAGCACTAATCGATTGGATCCCCATTAACAGTCGGTTATGTGCTGTTAGATTAGAAAGTTCCATCAAAGTGAGAAGAAACCGGCGTGAGAAGCGGTGTCTTTTCGTCATCTCCGCCTATGCCCCGACAGATTGCAGCCCGGATGCAATCAAGGATGAGTTTTACCACCAGTTAACAGTTCTTCTCCAGAAAGCGCGTTCGACAGATATTGTAGTATTGGCCGGAGACTTGAATGCTCAGGTCGGGTGTCTAGGCATAGAAGAGAGTCGTTTAGGTGGCCGATGGGGACTTGTTGGTCGCAGGACAGATAACGGGGACCGTTTGCTGCAACTGTGCACAGACCACAACCTGTTTCTGGCCAGCACCAACTTCCGGCACAGTCATCGCCGGTGTGCCACCTGGCGTCCTCCCTCTGCATCCCAAGCCTGGACTCAGATTGATCACATCGCGATCAGCTACCGCTGGCGTGGTTGTGTACAAGACTGCCGCTCCTTTTGGAGTACCTATCTGGAGTCTGATCATGCCCTGGTCTGCGCCAATCTCACCTTACTTTTCAGTGGCCGAAGGATTGACCACCACCAACGGGTCGATGTTAGCAAACCGGCTGCAACATCTGTTGCAAGTAAGTATCGAGCGGAGCTAGCCTCTAGGCTAGCTACCATCCCACCGAAAAGTATAGATGAGCATTGGTTGCATCTTCACGACGCCATAAAAATGGCGAGTAAAGCCGCTTGCGGCTTCGCGAAACGTCCCGCTTACAAGCACTGGGTCTCTTCTGGCTCCTTACAACTGATCGAAGCCCGTCGGTCTACTCCGAGTGACCGTGAGTTTGACCACAAACGAAGGCTTTTGCGTAATGAAATCGGGCAAAGCTTGCGTAAGGACCGAGAAGCCTGGTGGTCGGAGCGTGCTAATGAGATGGAAGCAGCAGCTGCATCTGGTAACTGCCGGAAGCTCTTCCAACTCATCCGAGCCACTGGCAGCAAGAAGTCTGGTGTGAGTGAAACAATCTACGAGGATGATGGGATGCCAATCACTAACATCTCCCGACGTCTTGGACGATGGGCGGAATTTTTCGAAGGGCAGTTCAACTGGCCTGCTGCTCCGGCAACATCAACCAGCTTGTCCTGCCCCCCATGGCCGGTGACGACTGTTCCACCAAACGAGGCGGAAGTCCGCAAGGAACTCCAACTCTTGAGGCGCTACAAATCACCGGGCCCAGATGACTTACCTCCGGCTCATTTTAAAGATGGTGGTGACTTTCTGACTAAAGAACTGACGGTGTTGTTTGCAAAGGTTTGGGAACTAGAAAGTGTTCCAACATCATGGAATGAGTCAATAGTCGTCCCTATCTTTAAAAAGGGTTCGCGTTGTTCCTGCAATAACTATCGGGGGATAAGTCTACTATTGGCTTCTATCATTCTTCGTAGGTTGTTTAAAACCCGAGAACGATTGACTCGCGAGGAGCAGGCTGGTTTTCGTTCTGGTCGAGGATGCATTGATCACATCTTCACCGTCCGCCAAATGTTAGAACACCGTCATACTTATCGCAGGCCAACAATCGTAGTGTTTCTTGATATCAGGGCTGCCTTCGATTCGTTGGACAGGACTGTTCTCTGGGATTGTCTATTGAAGAAGGGTGTGCCTGAGAAGTTCATTAACATCTTAAAGGCCGTGTATACGAACACCTCAGGCAGAGTGAGGGCATACAACCACCTTTCTCCCTTGTTCCATTCGAGCAGTGGGGTTAGGCAGGGTTGCCCGATCTCACCATTCCTCTTCAACTTTGCCATCGACGACATCCTAGAAACAGCTCTGGTGGATGTAAGTAATGGCGGTGTGGATATGTTGCCTGGAGAACGACTTCTCGACCTCGAGTATGCGGATGATATTGTCTTACTGTGCGACAATGCCCAAGGCATGCAATCAGCACTTAATCAGTTGGCAATCAGTGTCCGCAGGTACGGCATGTGCTTTGCACCCTCCAAGTGCAAAGTACTTCTACAAGACTGGCAGGATTCTTTCTGACTAAGGAACTGACGGCGTTGTTTGCAAAGGTTTGGGAACTAGAAAGTGTTCTAACATCATGGAATGAGTCAATAGTCGTCCCTATCTTTAAAAAGGGTTCACGTTGTTCCTGTAACAACTATCGTGGGATAAGGCAGCTCTGATATCAAGAAACACTACGATTGTTGGCCTGCGATAAGTATGACGGTGTTCTAACATTTGGCGGAGGGTGAAGATGTGATCAATGCATCCTCGACCAGAACGAAAACCAGCCTGCTCCTCGCGAGTCAATCGTTCTCGGGTTTTAAACAACCTACGAAGAATGACAGAAGCCAATAGTTTGAACGCAATCGTCAATAGAATTCATCACACAAATAAATGAAATGATGAATTCTATTGACGATTGCGTCCAAACTATTGGCTTCTGTCATTCTTCGTAGGTTGTTTAAAACCCGAGAACGATTGACTCGCGAGGAGCAGGCTGGTTTTCGTTCTGGTCGAGGATGCATTGATCACATCTTCACCCTCCGCCAAATGTTAGAACACCGTCATACTTATCGCAGGCCAACAATCGTAGTGTTTCTTGATATCAGAGCTGCCTTATCCCACGATAGTTGTTACAGGAACAACGTGAACCCTTTTTAAATATAGGGACGACTATTGACTCATTCCATGATGTTAGAACACTTTCTAGTTCCCAAACCTTTGCAAACAACACCGTCAGTTCCTTAATCAGAAAGTCACCACCATCTTTAAAATGAGCCGGAGGTAAGTCATCTGGGCCCGGTGATTTGTAGCGCCTCAAGAGTTGGAGTTCCTTGCGGACTTCCGCCTCGTTTGGTGGAACAGTCGTCACCGGCCATGGGGGGCAGGACAAGCTGGTTGATGTTGCCGGAGCAGCAGGCCAGTTGAACTGCCCTTCGAAAAATTCCGCCCATCGTCCAAGACGTCGGGAGATGTTAGTGATTGGCATCCCATCATCCTCGTAGATTGTTTCACTCACACCAGACTTCTTGCTGCCAGTGGCTCGGATGAGTTGGAAGAGCTTCCGGCAGTTACCAGATGCAGCTGCTGCTTCCATCTCATTAGCACGCTCCGACCACCAGGCTTCTCGGTCCTTACGCAAGCTTTGCCCGATTTCATTACGCAACAGCCTTCGTTTGTGGTCAAACTCACGGTCACCCGGAGTAGACCGACAGGCTTCGATCAGTTGTAAGGAGCCAGAAGAAACCCAGTGCTTGTAAGCGGGACGTTTCGCGAAGCCGCAAGCGGCTTTACTCGCCATTTTTATGGCGTCGTGAAGATGCAACCAATGCTCATCTATACTTTTCGGTGGGATGGTAGCTAGCCTAGAGGCTAGCTCCGCTCGATACTTACTTGCAACAGATGTTGCAGCCGGTTTGCTAACATCGACCCGTTGGTGGTGGTCAATCCTTCGGCCACTGAAAAGTAAGGTGAGATTGGCGCAGACCAGGGCATGATCAGACTCCAGATAGGTACTCCAAAAGGAGCGGCAGTCTTGTACACAACCACGCCAGCGGTAGCTGATCGCGATGTGATCAATCTGAGTCCAGGCTTGGGATGCAGAGGGAGGACGCCAGGTGGCACACCGGCGATGACTGTGCCGGAAGTTGGTGCTGGCCAGAAACAGGTTGTGGTCTGTGCACAGTTGCAGCAAACGGTCCCCGTTATCTGTCCTGCGACCAACAAGTCCCCATCGGCCACCTAAACGACTCTCTTCTATGCCTAGACACCCGACCTGAGCATTCAAGTCTCCGGCCAATACTACAATATCTGTCGAACGCGCTTTCTGGAGAAGAACTGTTAACTGGTGGTAAAACTCATCCTTGATTGCATCCGGGCTGCAATCTGTCGGGGCATAGGCGGAGATGACGAAAAGACACCGCTTCTCACGCCGGTTTCTTCTCACTTTGATGGAACTTTCTAATCTAACAGCACATAACCGACTGTTAATGGGGATCCAATCGATTAGTGCTGCCTCAGCTCTAGCGCTTAGTGCAACACCAACACCTGCAAGACCAGACGAAGATGCCACAGAGTCCCCGGATAAGCGCACGTGAAACAAGCTTTTCGAAGCGACAGATGGAGAGCGAATTTGTAGTACTTCACTAGAGTCTTGAATACGGGTCTCGGATAGACAGCAAACATCAACATTAAGACTTTCTAAAGACATAGCCAGCCCCATCTGTTGTCCGTTCTGCATTAGTGTGCGAACGTTGAAGGAAGCCAGCTTGAACGGCGTACGTGGTTTCAGAAAGACTGCTTCAGTATTCGTAATCGGTGGAAGCATTCACTTTGCAACCAGACAGTGACTAGAGATCGTTTAGATAGGACAGATTTTCCACCATGGGCGAGCTGCTGCGTAAGTTGGAAAGGAAGGATACACAATTTGGGTATAAAGGGAGTGAAAAAGCGACGTAGTAAATAATAATAATAATAATAATAATAATAATAATAATAGTGTAAATTGTCTTGCTTCTAGTATGAGCGAGAATAGTATCGTCAATAGAATTCATCATTTCATTTATTTGTGTGTGGGCTGTGATACTGCCCGGGTGCCCAAACCGAAGCAGGTGGTTTTCTTAGGGGACCACACCCCAAGCCTTTGACCTAAAGGTTTAGTCCACAAGGCAGTGGAGCATCGTGAGGAGATGCAATCCCATGGTAGCCGGTGTTCAACAGCAGGTTCGTTCCATCAGGATACTGGGGCCCATGTGCACCATTGGTTTGGTATCAGGGTTTTCCAACTCCCCTAGGTGGACCCTCCGTGTCCACCGACCCGGTTAAAGCGCCGGACATTCGCTTTTCGTCCTCTCACTTTCGTAAACAACACCCTAGCCACGAGAAGGCAGTGAGCAGGACTTCCCTGACAGAGGCTATATATTCGCTGGCCATATGAGAGCATTTCGAGAGGGGGAGTGGACTCTTCCCACTCTCGGCCGTACCAGGGCATTTGGGGACTCTATACATTGATGTAATATGTCATAGGATCAAGTTAGTTTCAACCTATCATATCTAATAAATGCACTTGTTCCTCGATGGAGAATTTATCGCCAATAAACGTGGCTTAAAATGGTTGCATTCATTTACACTCATGTCGACTTGATTATCTGCTATGTTTCTAGATATTCTGATGCTCACAGTTACTACCGACTAAATGATATTAGTTGTTTAGTAAATATATAGTGACTTGGTCTAGGTTTAGTCGTTTGGCTTTTATTCATAACTCTAATTTAAGAACTAATGAAACTGGTCAGTTGCGTAAAGCTTGTTAAGTAAAGTTTTCAAGCGTGTTCAATCATCTAACAAACAACTTCCAGGGGGCATTAATTCGCGGATTTTCATGTTATCTATTTTTCATCTTTAATGATAGATCCGTGAATACTAAATTTTAGAATGGGAATTTCATGGTAATTTTACCATAGCTGTTTCATGTGAACGCTAATTTTCCAAAGTTCTTATTTTATAGATGAAAAACTGAAGCATGCGATGAACCGATTAGCTACAACGTTTCTCCAGCATCTTGTGCAAAAGCGTTTATTTGAACATTTGAATGTAAATTCCCTTTTTAACTAATGGGCGCTTTCCAGGCTGTTTTGCAAAAGGGTTTGGCTAGACACACTCCTGCATTAACGAAAGTCTCTTTAACTGGTATATTTACCATTGCTATGAGGTTAGTGTTAAATGGATGGGGATATATTTCTCATAAATTCTTGCTTGATTCTGCTTGTCCATGAGAGCTATGTTATTATTAAGTACCCTGGTTCAGTACTAGAAGTAAGGTCGCTAGTTTTGCCTTAATTTACGTGTGTGGTGTTGTAGTTAAGCATTCTAAGTATAAGAATTAAATCGGCTTGCTATTTAGAATACCCTTTCATATATAGTTTATTTAGACATTTAGAAGGTATTTCTAGCCCTTACATAACAATTTTCTTCTAGAGTTACGTACCTATACCTCTAATAAGTTGGTGGTGTGTAGTTGTAATAACTTATATTACAGTGCTCTTAGCACTTAACCTCGTTACGATCTTCAACCCATCTGTATATTGTGTAGTAAATTGATAAAATACCTAGTCCGTTAAAATCGTGGTTGCTTAGGGCTGGTATATATCTGTTGACAGTGAAGCATTTCAACTTGAAGATCCAAATAAATTCACGACTTTTCACTGGTAATCACTTGCGATCATTATTTAAACACAAAATAATGCCTGCAGTTTCCACAAAGACATGTGTCGCACAGACGTGATAACAGTGCGAGCTGATTGAAGATTTTAATAATAATCAGTCAGTCAGCTGCAACGTAGGACCAGGCACATATATGCATCCGTCCAAGTTGCTACACCTCAACACAATGAGATGAAAACCAAATTCATAGAAGTTACTTCAATCAGTAGCAATATATAAAAGGAAGATTGCGTATAAGGATATCACACAGGGAGAAATAATTGGTTCGTGGAAAAAAGGTATAAAGTAATTTCAATCTCACGGTTTAAGGGAAGACAATGAGTGTATACACCTACGCCATTGTTTCCAAACGCCCTGGTACGGCTGAGAGTGAGGAGAGTTCGCTCTCCCTCTCGAAGTGTTTTCACACGGCGACGTGCATACAACCACTGCCAAGGAAGTCCTACTCACTGCCTTCTCGCAGCATTACTCCTGTTTACGAAATTGAGAGGACGAAAAGGAAATGTTCAGCTCTTTAACCGATTTAGTGGATACGAAGGATGCCCTGGTGGAATTGGAAAACCGTAGTTGCAAACAGATGGTGCACATGGGCTTCAGGATCCTGAAGAAACAAATAACGTATGAACCTATTGTTGGCCACCGGTTACCATGGGACTGCATCTTCTCACGATGCTCCACTGTCTTGTGGATCAGGCGTTTAGGTCAAAGGCTCCGGATCATAGCATCATAGCATGATATTGATGGGATTAGGAAACTAACCACAAGTTATATGGCTTAAACAAAAGAAATAATTTTTGAGAGTGGAAAGTGTAGATTAATAATAAGCTCGAGATTTCAAGGAAAATGTGAAATGAGCCTATCTTATCCACTGCAACCATTTTGATTCACATTGCATTTAGTCTGCAACCAAAAATTACAATATCCCTCCTGACTGCAAACAAAAATTTCTCAAATTCTGATCAATGACTGATAACTTTGTAAATTGTTTATGTGTATTGGTTTGATGTCCTGTATCTTTTTTCCTGACCTACTCCTATGTTAGCTAGTATAGCAAGTAAAAGTAGGCATGCATAGTACGTGAAGCAGCTATCTAAGACGATGATGGTTCGATATATCATTGGTCGGTCTCCATATCTATCGAATACCCTGCGCCTAATTCTAGCACACTCATCTGGGAGATTATTATAACCAAGAAGTATCTGTTTATTTATTTGGACACATAAACATTGGTACAAGGGGGCACCAAATACATATGTGCCACATAATAACAATAAGGCCAGTGGCAGTTGTCATTGTTTTATGTGACGGCTCTGATACTGCCCGGGTGCCCAGACCAAAGCAGGTGGTTTTCTTAGGAGACCACACACCCGAACTTTTGACCTAAAGGTCTAATCCACGAGGCAGTGGAGCAACGTTAGGAGATACAATCCCATGGTAACCGGTGGCCAACAATAGGTTCATACGTTATTTGTTTCTTCAGGATCCTGAAGCCCATGTGCACCATCTGTTTGCAACTACGGTTTTCCAATTCCACCAGGGCATCCTTCGTATCCACTAAATCGGTTAAAGAGCTGAACATTTCCTTTTCGTCCTCTCAATTTCGTAAACAGGAGTAATGCTGCGAGAAGGCAGTGAGTAGGACTTCCTTGGCAGTGGTTGTATGCACGTCGCCGTGTGAAAACACTTCGAGAGGGAGAGCGAACTCTCCTCACTCTCAGCCGTACCAGGGCATTGGGGGACAACCTCCTGTAATTATCACTTTTCGAAATTGAACTGTATATATGCTTACATATCCATTTTCGCAAATTATTTCCAGTTATGCGGCTGAGTATGTTATTAAAATTTTTTATGCGAATATGACTTGTAATCAAACGAACAACTGTATAGAGTAATTCCTTCTGTTTAGTTTTCATTTTTGTACTTGGAAAAAATATTATCTGACCGTTAATGAGCACACGTCAAATTGAGTATTCAAATAATGTTTTTTTGAAAATTCCATAGTTGGTATTTATCATCATTCCTCGCTTTACTCAAATGGAGACGGCTAGATATAATATTTTGGTTGTTTTAAAGCATCTTGACACATGGATTTCGTCAGACCTACTCAATGAATTTTCGAAGACGGTGCGTTGGTGAAAACAAACTAGTTCCTAACTTTTTTACATCGGCTTATTTGTTAAAGCGCCTAATTTTCAATCCACTAAGCTGGCTTCCGTTCGGGGAGCCGAGTAGGACTACTTTCCGTCACACAACAAGTTTGGCTCATGATCGTTTGTACAAACCTGTACTTGATAAATGAGTTACATTGAGTAATCAGTTAATTTTTCGCTTTAAAATTATTTTCCTATTCCTCGGTCCGTCAGTATTTAGTATCTTTGTTAAATAGACTTTACAGGAAGTATTGTTATCAACTGTAGGTAACCAATCTAAAATTGTTAGGCAACATACTTTTGATAGGATCGTATACTTCCGATTGTAGCTTTATGATACTGACTTCTCAGTTGTACAAAAGTATTTGCATCACCATGGATAGTCTGTAAGCTGTAACGAGAAATTGTTTAGGAAAACAGCTTTTGTGTCGTCTGTTTTATTGGGAAATACTATTTAAGCGACGTTGTTATTAGCCGATTTATATGGGTTAGTGTCTATGTACATGACACAAGATTCCAGTCAAAGTAAAGATAGAGGGAAAAGAAGTTGTCTTAGCCCATGACAAACAGTTAGATTTGTAATTTCCATAAACATTTACGTGAATTTCTTCCAAGTTTTATTTCGTGATTTATATTCACCAACTTGTATAAACTACCTTTCTGTATAATGCATTTTTATATTTCAGACCCTTGATATATGAAAAGTTCCCTCAGGAGCTTGTTATTTCATTTACGAGAAATATCTTAACTGTACCAGGATTTATACTACATATAAATTCCATGATGAATGAAGTTAGTGTAAAATTTTTAATGGCGTTAACATTTTCTTGAAGATTTGAATTGGTTTTTTATATTTACTTTACATGTACTAGCCTTGTTTTTGTGACTAGTATTTTGTATGTCTTTTGAATAATTTGAAATAAATTTTTACAGTGGAATTGGTAACGTATAGGTTGATTTCGACTTACGAGACCAGGTTTCTTATCAGTGCACAGTTTTCATCACCCATATTGTGTCTTGGTAGTTTGTCCATCCGAAGGTCTATTATTTATTACCGAAATCTCAACTTTTTACCCTTAGAATTTCATAAAGAGTATTGAACTGCTGAAAGGCTTTTTGAAATTTTGATAGTTGTTGTGTGTCAGATAACAACCTTTAGTATTCATCTCAAATCAATGAAGTTTAGGTTGCTTAAGACTAAGTCATGTTTTTCATGGAGTGAGGTTTGGTAGTGTTTCTGTGTCGAGGTCATCTTCATTTAGATAGTAAGATTTTTGTGATCAATATACGAAGTTTTTATCATGTTAAACCAGTGAATTTATCAAAAGTACTGAGTTTTCATAGCATATTAAAATTGCTTTTGTTCTGTAGACATGTACTCTGACAGCTGATATTTAATTTGCAACTCTGAAAGCATCGTATGGGAGATCTTCAGTTAATGATAAAATTGATAGATTTTCTGAAAAATGCTCTTCAGGAATAATCTCGTTGGAGGATAATTCATTCTGTAAAATGAATTAGAAAAGCTCCGTCTCACGAATAACTTATCGATTCGTGAGGTCTCTAGTTTATTTTGACACGTTGACCTTTCATTGGTTTTCTATTCTTTGTCACGTTGTGTAGCAACTTAGACCAACGCATTTTATGTAAGGTTATTTGTTGTTTTGTTTATCCTCTTGCTTCACGTATAAACTAGGTGTTTAATAATAGGCCTGTTGTTCATTTTTCCATTTAAGTGTTATGCTTTTCAAAACTTCCTGTGAAATATCAAGTTTCTTTTGTTCAGGATTTCTACACTTCATAGTTTGTTCATATATGTATCAGTACTTCGTTGCCTATTAGACCATTTACTTAGAGAACACCAAGTCTCCAAAATATATTTATGATACTCAGAAATGAAAGTCCTTATGGAATTATCAGTATTGTGCTCATTGATCATGTAATGATGCTTTGTAAGAAAATAAGTTTAGCTGTTGCGATGGTGGAGAACATTTGTAGCTCAGGTGGATGATTTTGGCGGAGTTTGTTCTCTTAGCTGGATGGTTTGGTCATTGTTCTGAACGACATCATCAACACGAACTTCAAGTAGAGGTTTACGTGTGGATTTTACACTCAGCAACCATCATGTCGAGATTGAGAAAACTCCAATAAATTAAGTTTTTCCAACAATAAAGCAGTACAAATGGTTGGCATAATAAGATTAGTTTTGATTGTCTCATGACTGCCGTCGCAACATATGATTATCTTGTGTGAGGCTTGAAAGAAATCTTCAGTATATCACAATGGGGATTTCCAGTGCATTATTTTGAGTCAGAAGTTAAAATACAAATCTTTAATTCTTTTTATTCGTCGTTTTTATAATTTCTACTTATTTATAATTTTGAAGTGGCTATTCTCGTCATGGATCTAATCGATTTCCAATAGAGCACATAATCCATGTATCGTGAGCAAAACGACTTCTTTCAGCGTCCTTACGTCTCTTTCTGTCTGAATTTTGTTTTGTAATTGCCATCCTAAGATATATATATATATATATATATATATATATATATATATATATATATATATATATATATATATATATATATATATATATATATATAATCTGTATATATCTCAATTATCCTGATGTCTGTCTCTTAAAAGCTTTATTACAAACGTGTAATTCTTCATTACAGCAGTTTAGAAATGAAAACATTTACATCATTTCACACACGAATGGAATGGAGTTCATAATCTAGTACTCTACTACAAACATACTTAACGGTGTACATTTGCTATTTAAACACTTTCCTGTCCATTCACGTATGTAAATAAATCCTCATCTTAACTGTGTTTGATTTAATTGTTTTATATATAGGCGTATGATATTATAGTGAATGAAAGATTGTGCTCGAGAATTATCATGACATTATACGATAGTTCAAAAGAGTTCAATATTCTACTATCTAAGCTAGATGGGTCATATGTTTTATGCTTGATTGGTAAGAAATATTAATTTTCTCATTTTATGCATGTTCAGGTTGATTTGAACATACAGTCATTCAATAATAATTATAGTTTTGTAATGTGCCAATTAATAGAAAATTGTATTTTTGATGTTTCATGACTTAATGTAAGTCACTTTCTTCTTGCCTACTAAGAAGAAGTAAATCACATTAAGTCACAAAACGTCAGAAAAACAATTTTCTACTCGTTAGGATATCACAAAATATATATTTATTATTAACTTTCTACACAATGCTCAATTTATCTGGGACTATCAAGTCTAACCTTGGCATACCGAAAAATATAGTCAATTATTTTGAGGATTTTCCTCGTTTGGCATTCAGGTCTCTGTATTTTCGTTGTGAACTAGGCTTAATTATGTTAAACTGACTTATATTATCAATGCAGTTCGCTAACTAGGCGCGAAGTTACATGCGTGTTTTATCAAATTGAATTTCTGCTCAAACTGATCTTGGAGTTTTCTGTAACATTTGTCAAAGTATACACTCATGCTCAATATTTTAAGGTTTTCCTTAGTGTGTTCGACAGAATCCGTTCTTTATCTTAACTTGACGGGTCCATATTATTGTGTACGTTGGGTCGTCGATCAGATTTTTAGACCAAAGCTTGATTCCTAAACGGGCAGCTAATTCATGTTTTTATCAAATCACAATAAAAATATCGGTAGCATTCATTTATAGCAAACGGTATTAACTAAACTCGTTTACAGTGGCAACAACCTGTAAACTACCAGTGTATTACATTGATATTTCTAAGACTAACACTATTTAGACTTGAATGTATCACGCTCACATATGAAATTTCACAAATGTTTGAACGACTAGTTCCACAGAATCTGTTGGCTGGAGTATACATCATATTGAAATCTATGCTCGTAAGCCTTAGTGGACAAAATTAATTGGTTTTAATGATTAGCACTAAAGTCAAATCCAAGCTTCAGTGAAAAGTCTCGAAATTATCAGTAGTAAATCAGGTAAAAAACAATACACTAAATCATGAAACGTTTCTTTAGAATATATAGAAACTTGATGAATTCATTAAACTTTTAAAGAAAGTATTTTCTTTTTAATTATTTTTATCAATATACATTATCTAGCAAATCTTATCCAACTCAGTCTGTTAGAAACTGATATCTTGGCCTCTCATTGTACAGAATTTTGTGTAAGTCTACAAAATTGTTAAAGCGTATTTTTTCTTCAGATGCAATCCAATAATGACTTTTATTTTTGTTACTGAAAAGTGACCTCTTCAAAAAATCTAGACTTATTTTGATTTTAACAGTTGAATGCATTAGTCGATCTAAGCTACACCATCACTGAAATCCTGGATGCACACTGCTGAGGAGTCCCATGCTGGGACGAAACAGCCGTCCGGTGTTTCCAGGTTTTCAATGGTCAGGCTGGCTTCAGACCTGGTCGTGGCTGTATCGACCACATATTCACCATTCGTCAAGTTTTAGAGCACAGACACGCTTATCGGCGTCCGACAATGATAGTTTTTCTTGACTTGAAAGCAGCATTTGACTCTGTAGACCGAGAGGTTCTGTGGCAGTGTCTGTCATTGAAAGGTGTACCTGAGAAGTACATAAACCTTGTGAAGGCTCTTTACTCGAACACTATTAGTCGAGTGAGAGCTTATGGCGAACTGTCATATGATTATACAACCTCAAGTGGTGTCCGTCAAGGCTGTCCACTATCCACATTTTTGTTTAACTTCATTATAGACCTACAGCTGGAAATAACACTCTCTTCGACTGAATTTACAGGAATTGATCTCCTACCAGGGGGACCACTAAGCGACTTAGAATACGCAGATGACATAGTCCTGTTTGGTGAAGACGCTGGCAAAGTGCAGAGTCTTCTGTTGGAACTCAGTAATAATGCCAGGATGTTTGGGATGCGTTTCTCCCCATCCAAATGTAAATTGTTACTCCAGGACTGGCCTGCGTCAACACTCGAACTAAGGATAGGGAGTGAAGTAGTCGAACGCGTCGACAACTTCACTTATCTTGGAAGTCTGATCAGCCCTAATGGGTTGGTGTCAGACGAAATCTCAGCACGTATTCAAAAAGCTCGTTTGGCTTTTACCAACTTACGTCACCTATGGCGTAGACGAGATATCCGTCTATCAATTAAGGGACGAGTATACTGCGCATCAGTTCGCTCTGTCCTACTTTACGGCTGTGAAACATGGCCATTAAGAGTAGAAGATACTCGTAGGTTACTAGTATTTGACCACAGATGCCTTAGAAATATTGCTCGCATCTGCTGGGATAACCGGGTAAGTAATAGTGAGGTTAGACGCAGGGTATTAGGGAACGATGGTAAATCAGTTGATGAGGTGATGAATCTTCATCGACTGAGATGGTTGGGCCATGTGTTACGTATGCCTGAACACCGATTACCACGACGCGCTATGATGACTAGTATTGGGGACGGTTGGAAGAGAGTTATGGGCGGCCAAACCAAAACATGGCATCAGTGTTTGAAGTCACTAACTTCTAGCCTGAGCCATGTTGGCAGATGCAGACTACCTGGTTGGGGTCCGCGTGACTATCGTAACCAATGGTTGGAGACTCTAGGTGACATGGCTCAGAATCGGTCACAATGGCGTAGGTGTATACACTCTTTATCTTCCCTTAAACCTTGAGACTAAAATTGCTTCATATCTCTCTTCCTTCCTGTACTATATCCTTATATACAACCTATAATTTATATACTACTACCAACACTAGATTAACTACTATGAATCCGGTGTTCCTCTTGTTGTGCTAACAAGGTATGCCAACTTGGACCGATGCATATATGTGCCTGGTCCTACGTTGTAGCTGACTGACTGACTTATCTTAGATCGTCCCGTGAATTCAACTGGTAAAATACTACAGTCTCCACAAATCCCCATACTTGTTGTGATTTTTCGTCTTCAAATCTAAGTTTAAAATTTTCTAATTAGATGTAATAGATTTCCGGTTATCTGTGATTTTGACGTATATATTTTATTTATTCGGTGGTATGATTTAGACACTTAGCTACAACTGTTATTCCTTTAATGTGATGTGTTTTAAAAATTAGTACTTAGACTATTTGTAAGATTTAGGTATTATTCTACCTAATTATAATTGAATTGGTAGGGCAATATTTTATCTCTTACGTATTGTATCAAAATAGATAATATTAGAGTTTGTGCAGTTTTTCTAGATTTGAACTGAGTGATAAAAGTTTTTTAGTCTCAATATGTACTGAGCATATTATTTGTAAATCGTTGTGAAGCAGTTTTTTTTAAAAAGAACTATGATTTTCTTTCAGGAAATTTTAATAATGACACTGACAAAGATAATTTGACCGAATAAGTTTTATCAAACTTAATTATTAACTATGCAGTCACAGTACATTGTGAGATATTAAGGAAGATATTTCAATAGATGTGTTTTGTGATTTGACAATAATTTTCATTACCAGTTAAATAATCATCAAAAATCAGAGAACATTGACTAGTTGTTTCGTTCTAGTTTGAGACTCTTAATTAGTTGTGTACGTACGAATTTACATAGGATTCAATCCAAAACCTTTGAGTTTTGTATTGATCAAAATACCATCCAACTAGTGAGTCAAAATCCCTTGGTTCACACTTCAGGATTTCAATCAATTCACAGTACAACACACCTGTTTCCTAATGTGTTATTGATGTGGATTCTCGCCATTCCTAAGACTTCTTGTTTCATACATTATGGTTTCTCAGTTGAACTTTGGAGCATCTAATTCGCAGTGAATACTAACTACTGGATCATTATTTAACTTAGTTTTTGTACAAATTTGTGTTTAGTCTGTAAAGTCCTCAATCAAAGCGAAACCGTTATTCTCTGCTGTCTATTTTTTAGTGCATTTTTAAAAACATCTGATATCTATTCATAATACAAGCTGTTTTTAAATGTTTTATCAATATTGATATGAAAGACGGTATTACTTCCTTATCAGCTTTTCATTGCTATCACTACACAAACAACAGACATTTGATTTAATTGTTAAAACAATGATTAGAACTTTTGTGAGGTGACTTACGGACAACTGCTTTCGAAACTGAATATACCAACTTTTTAAGTTCATTATGACTATTCAAGTAAATGATAGCAAAAAAAAGAACAATTGACAACCATGTCGTCTCAGCGTTACTCTTTAAAAAGAAAAGAATTAAGCGAAGCATTTTCTGACATAGAAACATGAAATAAATATGTTTGGAATTTCACCATCACAAGGTCTGTAAATCAACTGATGATAATTAGGGTTTAGGGCTTCGAATATCAACCGTTTTATGTGTTATGATAATTAGGCACTTAAAAATGGGACTGTCCGACATCTTTTTGACTAGATCAATATTAATAACAGTTTTTTATAAACGAAGAATAAATGTTTCTTTTTTTTCCAATTTTCTTTGTAGATTGTTTTATCCAAATCTATGCATTATTTGGGCACCTATGTCGGTAGTAAAAAGTCTAATCTTTGCAGTTGGCATCCAATTTTAGGGTGGTTTGCTCAGTCAATAGATAATTCGTAAGTTCTTCTAAATGGCAATAATATAAACTACTAACTTTAATCACCAATTAACTTCTCTTTTTATTGAAATTGATGTTGGAAATACAATGTACCTAAGAATATTTTCCATATGCTATTACACAAAAAAGATCCAAGATTTATCTTTCCAATAAAATCCATAGGTTTAGTTAAAATGACAGTATTGTAATCTTTGTTAAATGAATTTTTAAAAAATCGAATTACCGGTTCACTTGACTAGTTTTATTTGGTACTACTTGAAACTCAATAAATTGACTACCCATTAGTTTTAACAGATTTAAAAAACGCCTAAATCTAATAATAATAATAATTATTATTAGTGGCATTATTGAATATTATATTTTTAGTACAGTATAGAATTCTCAGCACAAAATATTTTAACAAGTTTCCTTTTCTTATTTCTTGATCGATCCTGACGATAAATACTGAGTGGTCGCCAGTTAGATGTAACTAGTTTAGGTATCGACATCTGAATAATGTTCATTATTTTCAATGCATATTGCCAGCCACCATAATATCGCTGATTGTACTTTTTTGTAACTTGTACAGCAAAAGGTCGTGAACTTTTCACAAACGCACCTGAATAGGTTATGGGATTAATAGACATAATGATATGTTAAAACAAAAACCCAGATAACTTGTTGAAGTATCTAAATGGCAGGAACTGGTAACCAAGATATTCAAGCAAACCGCCTTAAAGATCTGCACTTATGTATAAGCTTAATGTAAAATGAAAATGTAAAATGTAAAAATAAAACTAATCATTTCATTGAACACAACGGTGTGAAAAAAATTGACGAAAAAAAATACAAAACAGTGCGATGAATGATATTTGTAGTCGAAGTCATATAGTTAGGATTCGTAGTCTTTTGGTTGAAGGTGAAATTGCCTAAATCATTAAACATGTCGTAGATTCCAGAAAGTTGGGATCCCCTCATTTTCTGAAACTATTGGTTTCTGACTTTTCTTGTTCAAAACAAAAAAAATTTTATGAAGTAATAGACTTTTTATCAAATTGTCATTAAGAATTTGCATTTTAATAAAATATTTTCTAATTTTTAGATTAATTAAGAAATACCCAAATTTTTTAGCTTAATTTGATCAAATAATGATGTCCCAAAAAGTTGACGGAATACACATTTCTAAGAAATAGGAAGTGGTCTATAAAATGTGAAGCTTATTTTGATAACAAAAGTTATAATGTACGTTAGTGAGTGTTAAGTCAAAATATATTTTCACAGATTATTTAGAATAGACTGATTGCAACGAGAAGTAGAATCCTGCAGGCGCGTTTATTCTTATTCGGGACTCGTCAGCAGGATTCACCTGCATCCTAGTGGTGATTTTCACATAAGGACTTGATCTCACTACTTTTCGCTTCAAGCTCCAACGTGTTATATTCATTGGGCTACTAAGTTCAGGATAGCCACTAAATACATTTGATAATTATGCCTTGAGAAAAAAAATACCTGTAAGTATTTATTTTTTGGGTTCGACAAATCAGTTATCTGTTCGTATCAAACAGAATGTAAAATTAAAAAGTGCTTTTTCTATTCCTAGTCAGGTCTAATTCAAATTACCCCCCCCTTCATATTTAATCTAACCAAGATCCTTTTGCCACAGTTCCTGATAGTAAAAAGTATATGATGCTAGCTAATGTAATATTTTTAGACTCATGATATTTTTGTATGTAGCATAAATCGAATTATAGTGTTTACTAAACAAAGTCTAAAGTACAGTGTTCAACATAGAAATGACTGATTGTGAAAAGACAGATAAAAATTGGTGAAATATGTACATGGTATCTTTTGCTATATGTCTCAGTTCCTACCTGAATTGATCCAGCTTCTTAATACTAATTTGGTACCATATTTGCTATGACCACGTATTGAACACTATATAAATAGTACCTCATGCGATACCTTACACTGATCATATCATTGTCAAATATTTATCTGTACTTAAATTCGTAATAAGGCTACTTAAATTATTATAGACTTTCAACAAGGCCTTTTTAGTTATGACTTTTATCATATTATTTTTTCTGATAAAGTAATGCATCGCATTTTGTAAAATAGTCCTATGCCTTATGAGTTACATTTGTTATGAGCTTTTAAATAATTCCACCTTACATAGTGTATTGCATCATTTACACAATTCTAATGATCGCCTATTATTCTGTTGCACAGTTAATAAGTGTTTAAATGGTTCATCAGTTTCTGTGAGATGATGACTAAATAATGTGTTTAATTCGATCTTGTAAATCTGAGATGTACCATGATGATGTTCATTGGTTTCTCATCTTATTTTATTTTATTTCTTCATTTCTTTAATTAGCACAATTATTGTTCTTACTATTTATATTTCAGTTTACAATCAGCCATGTCCTTCGTAACAAGTCAGTTAAGACTACTCTGGAATGGTCGTATGGTTCGTTTATTATTTGCCGATCTGTATGCGCAAGCTGAACTAAACTTACCTGAGTTAAGTGCATCAGAGGGTGGTTCATCTAGCACATGTCATCTTCATCCTGCTAACACATCTTGTGCAACAAATCAACATGGACCTGGGGTACCTTCTAAAGCAGAAAAACTTGCTGTGTTAGGGTTATTGCCACCTATTTCACGGATGGGAGGTAGTAGGTCAACCGGCTCTGATATTGATGGTTATGGGCATCGTGTACGTCATGGTCTTTCAAATTTTCTACGTCAGATATCCAATTCTTCAGCATATCGTGCTAGATTTCGAAATAAGAAAGAAATAACCAATAATTACATTCCAAATCTTTCCACTGGACGTTCAGATAGTCCTGGTCCAAGTGATTTACCGAAATCCTTAAAAGCTGTGTGTATGCTTTATTGTTTTACTTCTGGAAGTTTGAAAGAAATTAGAAGCGCTATACTGGCAGGCAGGTTAAATGAATTGAATTCTTTCTTTCTTGTTAGATTACACTACATCATTTGTTTACCTAATTAACAAATGTTTTTACTATCGTCATGTAATGAAGAATGTTGTTTAGTAAAAAAAATTGGAAAGATTAGTTTGGTAGTGAAAGCTTACAATAAAATGTTACCTACTTCACATTTAAGCGAATACTTTATTGACTAAAAAGTAATTTTTGTCAACTAATCATTTTCTGGTATTCCTTGAGTTGAATCTTTTGGATAAGCTGGTTTTAATGAACTCTCATCACTCCCACTCCTCACATTTATTCAAGTGATCAACCACTCATTCTTTCCTTTCAATGTTTCAACTCAGGTTACTATTACGGAAATACATTGGAAGTTATTCATATGTTTGGACATCTTTTTTTCGTTTCCTCTAAAAAATCTAAGTTGATTAGTTGAGTGTTTCCTTCATTCCTTCATCAACTTTCAGAGTATTTATTGAGGAATTAGACAGTTTTTGTTTATTTACATGATGAATTTTCATCAGGATTCTTTTGCTTTGTCTCTTCTTTGATTTATCTGTCCTAGCATAACTCATTATTTTATTGTGTTTCAATAACAAACAATCACGACAGGTTTATCGTTAGGTGATTTATTACCTCGTATGTGGCGTTTAATTTCTTGCTGTGGATCTGTACGTGATTGGGTTCATGTGATTATGAATTCACAATCAGTTTGCCATTTAGAACCACATGAATCTCATTTGATGCAAATATTTGCTTCAGCTACAAGCAATTTGTTGAGGTATGTTGTCTACTTTTACATATAATACCGGTTTTTACTTAATTGAAAATAACTTATTAAACCAAGTCCACGTTCACGTATTCGGCTGCTGTAGATACTTTCTGTGAACATGATATCTGAAAAAAGTCGGGATGTAAACCTGTGACCGAATATTTGAAAGTTATCAGTGAATTTCTAAACAATTCATTTGTAACTGTTAAATTTAAGTTCGTGAGAGTTATCTTCATTAAAACATTCTATATTCATTCATGCGTTCTGTAAAGTGACAGCTGATATTAAACAATACAAGGTGGTTTGTGTAACGAAGACCATTTGATATCGACTCCCTTTTGTCACTGAATAAGTGGTATAAAGCATATTGACATTTTTAGGCACTTCTATTAATAGTTGGACTAAAAATTTGGCGAACAATATCTATTTATCTGTTTGTACAATCTGATTGTTTCATCCAATACAATTGACTGTATTTGAAATATTTTACGTTGAAATGCGACTTGAATTTAGTTTTCGAAAACCAGGGGACTATTGTAAGTCAATTACACATATGTTAATTATAATGTCCTTTTAGTCGAATGTGTACTCTTTTTTAAACCCCTGAAAAAAATAGTAATAGCTGTTGCATGTGAACTCATGGTAGTATATTTCAAGTTGACAATATCATTTCATATTCGAATTGCTCAATCCTGTGTGAACTAGTCAGTGCTATCTTGATATGATGGAATAAGAATATGATATTATTGAGGTCAATGTTTACTGTATCAATTCAGTATAAACTTTGTTCTATATGACAGGTGTGAACTTTTGTTCAGTGTGAAAATTTTATTCCCTGTATTAATTCAGGTTAAATAAATTTATTGCGTGTTTTTAGAGTACCTATATGTATTCCCCCTTACATGTGATACTATAAAGTGTGTATGAAATTTTGGTATATAAATGATTGCATTGTGGTCTGAGGATGATGTGATTTGGTACTTTCTTGTCGTTGAGTTTTCGAGTTAAAAAACCTTCATTGCATTAATCTTTCATGTTTTCACTTTGCGTCGTGGGAATTGTGCTGATTTCTCAGTATAAATAGTAGGATCGGTTAATTGCAGTGTTTCCTGACTGTCAAATAACAGCAGTAAGACTGTAGACTCAGCAGACTCGATACGTACATAACAGTGATGACAGAGACAATTTTCCAGTTATCACAGTGAGGGATTCCGCAATATAACAGCATTGCTTAATGGATTTACGATTACAAAACTAAACAGTTCCACAGCGTTCAATTTATTCTTCAAATATTGTCAGTTTACGATAGAAATTGTTTTTAATTTTTAAAGTTATTTGTAGATAGACTTTTTAGAAATTATGTTTTTTTCTTGTGAAAATCAAATAAATTGTTTAGTATATTGTATGATTCACTGTACACTTTTCTTTGTAGCATATTAGATGATGCAGAATTATTTGAATTAAAAAAATCGTTTACAATCGACGAATTGTGCTCAATGGGTTCATTTTTTAATCATTTAATTTATGAATCAGTCATTATGGTACCAGATCGTAAGTGTCAATTATCTTTCATTAATGTGACTATTTAATTAAGTGTTATTACCTACTCTATTAATAAGGTAAATTTTATTTGATTCTACAAAATAGAAGTAAATTAAATGTATCCTTCAGCAAAATACCAAAGTAATTCAAATGAGATCAAATTTACAGGGTAATACATCCCTCTATAATTCAATATAGCTATATTCTCATAACTTAGGTAATCAAACTTGACAATCGTTAACTGTGTATATAATGTCGGTTGACAAGTAGAGTTGTAAACGGAGAAATTGTAAAGGCGTTGTGCAGTAGTGCATCAGATAAAATTGTCATGTTTCACAACGTTGTATGTAAAAGAGGTTGTCAGGAAAAGAACGTTAGTACTGGTAAAATTAGAAAGAAAAGTTCTTGAAATTTGGTAGAAGATAAAGGATGAATGAATTTGCACCATTTTGGTTGACAGAGGTTCACTACTTGCCTGCTTGAATACCTGGGCTACCTGTTTCTGCCATCTAAATATTTCAACAAGTTATCTGGGTGTTTTTTTTAAAAATTTGTTTCAACCTATCATTATGTCTATTAATCGCATAACCTACACAGGCGCGTTTATAAAATGCTTACGTCCTTTCGCTGCAAAAATTACAAACAAGCACAATAAGAGACATCGTGGTGGTTGGCAATATGCTTTAAAGAGAATAAACATCAATCAAATGTCGATTCCCGAGCTACTTAACTCTAACTGTCGATCACTAATTAACAAGGTGGACTATCTCCAATTTCTCCTACGTCAAAACATGTATCGTAATTGTGGTGTCATCACAATTCAAGAATCTTGGTTAACTGACTTACAGGGTGATTGCTTAGTGTCATTACGTGATTTTAATATCTATCGTCAGGATCGATCAAACAATAAAAAGATTTGTGGTGGCGGAGTAGCTACGTTTGTAAACGTTAACTGGTGTAGATCTACTTTTGCCTGTTTCAAGTTTTCAAACGACTTTATTGACTGTCTAACTTTAAGGTGCCGTCCAAAACACCTGAATAAATACAAATATATTTATGTTACCAATATCTACATGACTCCAGACTGCACATCATCTGCGCTATCTGTCTTCACTGATAAATTTACTGAATTCGCCGTTACTGCCTTCAGTGATTCACTTTCAATTGTATGTGGTGATTTCAATTCATGTGACTGTAGCTTCCTTACATCACTAGGTCACCTAAATGCAGTAGATTTTCCTACTCGTTTGAATTCTCATCTAGACTTGGTTTTCATTAATGATGTGGGTGCCTATGTGACTCGCAAACGTGCTCCATTGTCTAGTTCGGATCACTGTATAATTCGTGTCTTACCTAAAGTATATGGTAAACATGGAAAGAGTACACACATACACCATACCAAAAAAGTAATATATAGGAATTACTCAGAAGAAAATTTACAAAATCTAAAAAACATGTTTCGTACGACCAGCTGGGAATTATTTACAGATGACTCAATAGAAAACACAACGGATGTTATCACCTCTTATCTTAAATTCTGTTTTCATATTTGCTGTCCTACCGAAACCTTCTTTTTAAGTTTTGATCGACTTACATCTCCACAACTAAAACGACTACGGAGAGTAAAAGAAAGGATGTACAAGGAGAAAAACACTATTGAAGTTCGTAAGTTAAATGATCAAATAAACCAAGAGATTAGACGTCTCAACTGTGTGTTCACTCAAAAACTCCTATCTTGCAGAAGCTCTCCAAGTATGTGGAAACTCTTTAAAGAAATTACAGGGGACAGGCAGACTAGAATCGATAACCAGCTAAATGTTTGTGACTTAAATAAGTCCTTTATTCATCAGTCATCTGACATCATGCTCCCTATATCCAAGGGTTTGAAGAATAATTGTGTCCCCAGTTTCACTGAAAATGATGTCCGGAAATGTCTCCAGTCTCTGAATTCATCCCAATGTTTAGGACCTGATGGTATCCCAAACCTCCTTTTTAAAAAATATGCCGATGTTTTATGTTATCCATTAATGAATATCTTCAACAGATCCTTCTCAACTAATGTCTTACCGAAAATGTGGAGAAAGATAAAGGTAATCCCTATACCTAAGAAGACTTCTGGTGATAAAAATGCGAAACTTAGACCCATAGCAATAACTTCACCTTTCCTCAAAATAATGGAAAAATTACTGATACAACCACTTCAACCTGTAATAAAAGAGCACTGTGATCCATATCAGTTTGCTTACAAATGCAAAAGAAGCACATTAGATGCCGTTGCTGTTCTGCATCACAATATAGTGTTCGGGTTGGAAAAGGGTAAGAAGTATGTTAGATGCGCTTTCCTGGACTTTACTTCTGCTTTTGATTCTATTCCAAGACACCTCTTACTTAACAAGCTGATCAGCGTCGATACTGACAGCTGGATAACCAATTGGCTATGTTCCTACCTTTCTGGAAGAGAACAGTACACTGTCTTTGAAGGAAAGTGTTCAACATCTCTACTGTCTACTGTAGGTGTGCCACAAGGAGCTGTTCTTTTACCTCTGCTCTTCTCTTTCTTTTTGCATGATCTGCCATCTTCCACAGAAAACACTTTTGTAAAATATGCGGACGACCTCACCGTATGTATGCCAATTTCTATCTCCTTACATCCTATAGAAATGAATGAGTTTTTATCTCGTATTGAAAGGTGGTCTGTTGGTAATGGTCTCTTACTCAATCCATCTAAATGTCAAGCTGTTAATTTTAGCTTGAGACATGGACAGAACCTATACTCTATGTTGGGATCCCATAATGCTTGTGCCATTGGAGACTCCTTAATAAACACAGTGTCGAAGGTCAAATATCTTGGTGTTATTTTTTCCTCTGATCTTTCTTGGTCTTCTCATGTTTTGCTGTTATCGAAAAAAGTTTACCGTTTGACATACTACATAAAGAGGCTGCATGCTTTTGGGATTACTCGCCATTTACTCTTACACTTTGTAAATTCCTGCATATTACCTATTATTCTATATTGTTCTCCATTATTCTTTCCTGGGCTTTTGAGAAAAGACTTTGCTATTTTGCGTAGAGTGCTGAAGGCAGTTTGTAAGGTATGTGGTGAATCTTTTGAAGTCATTGTTAATATGCTTGTGGATAGACATCTTAAGGCTTGCAAACTCTTGGCAGGTGTTATCTTATCAGATACTAGCCATCCCCTTTATTCATATCTTTCTCCTTGTATATCTTCTGGTAGAACGAGACGTAAATACATTAAAATTCATGCATGCAAGCAAATCTATAAAAGTTCTGTAATACCTTACTTAGCTAATTTACTTTGTGACGAACAGGCTGTTAGAGTTGACCTAGTAAATAACCTGTCTTCTTAAGCATGTCTCATATTCGATAATTTGTATAAACTCAGATTTTCTTAAACCGTTTTTATATTTTATTTCTGTTTTTTGTTGTTGTTTTTTTTGGTTTTATTTTTTTGGGAAAAACTTGTTGAAATAACTCGTGCTGAGAATTCTATATTGTACCAGATTATAATATAGAATAAAGCCATTAATAATAATAATAATAATACTTCATTGACTGATTTACTGTAATTGCCTGAAAATTTCCGGTTAGTTTCTAAATTGCTGACTTAGTGCTACTACTAGATACTGGGATTGTTCAAAAAGTAATTACTCATAGCCAAATACCAGTGATCATCTCATAATTGCTGAATCCAAATACCATGTGATGTAGATTTTCAAATCGCTACTTCATGTCCGAAAAACCTTATATCTTATACCCTCAAATACCCTCGTACGACCGAGAATGGGGAGGTCCCGCCCCCTCTCTCGAAATGCTCTCACACGGTCACGCGTATACAGCCTCTGTCAGGGAAGTCGTACTCACTGCCTTCTCGCTGTATTACTCTTGTTTAAGAAATTGAGAGGACGAAAAGTGAATGTCCGGTGGACACGGAAAGTCCACCTGTGGGAGCTGGAAAACCCTGATTTCAAACCAATGGTGCACATGGGCTCCAGTATCCTAAAGAAACAAATGGTGTATGGACCAATCGTCGGTCACTAGTTACCATGGGACTGCATCTCCTCACGATGCTCCACTGCCTTGTGGGTTAGACCTTTAGGTCAAAGCCTCGGGGTGTGGCCCCCCAAGAAAACCACCTCCTTCGGTCTGGACACCCGTGCAATATCACAGCCCTCAAGTAAATCAAATGAGATTTGTGTGGCGCATATGTATCTAGTGCTTCTTTGTACCAATATTTATGTGTTTAAATAAATAAATAAAATAAATAGTTAGTACACTTGACTGTCTGTCACAGTTGCAATTTCGAATCTTAATTCACCTGCTTCTATTTTGGCGACATTTGACTATTACAATGCTTTACACATAAAACAGTGAGCGATAATTTAGTGGTTAAGTCATTCAACTTTCATCCATTAAGTCACACATTCGAGTCTCACTGTATCTATTTCACATCGGACAACCAAGTAGTATCATTAGCTCATCATACCAAATTACATGGTGGATGAGTTAATTTAATCAAGAGAAATCGACTACACAATAAAATTGTTATCAGCTCTTTAAAAGAGCCATATAATCAGCTTCAATTGTTAGTAACAATTTTGACGATATTCACTGTAGCCTGTGCAGGTAATATACTGTAAATAACCTTAACACATTTTCTGAATAGCACAAAAAAGGGAATGAAACTCAAAGGTATGTACAACTACAATTCTTTCCACCTATCTGATTTTCCATTTCCATGATAAGAAACAATTTAATGCATATTATAATAATTATATTTTCATTATATTGTAAGTAGTACTTGTTTGTTACACTTGAATCCTTATAGATCTATTTCTATCAGTAGTAATTATTTTAAAATTTCTAACTATAAATTTCATAATTCTATATTCATTTAACAAAGGTGTATAGACTAAATATATTAACATAATAATAATTATTTCTACACTTTTCCATTTAAATAAATTCCACTTGTGTTTTAATAAGATTATCTTGTTTTTCTCCGCTTTTATAAAAGCTAATCAGCTTAAATTATGGAGTCCATCTTGTAAAGATGGTAATAAATTGAATAAAACCAATGAATCCATTGCATTGCATAATAATAATAAGTCTACTGTTCAATCAGACAGTTCATCTACTGTTATGCCTAATTTATTTACAATTTGTTTACGTTTATTATCTGTAATCTATGAACGTGATAGTAGACATTTATTTACACCACCGAATTTTTGGTTAATATCGTAAGTTACTTTGTATAATCTCTTATACGCTTTTTTTGTTAAAAAATTGCATGTACTTCACATTTATTCATAGTTCAATCCTTGCTTTGTATATTTAACATGTGGATATGATTATAGAGGTGTATATTTGTTATTGAAATCATGAATCGATCCGAGTTATACGATAATTAAAAAATTGAAAGTACTAGATAAGTGTCTCGTCGTAGTTCGGAACTTCTCAGTAGTGCACATGTACGTCCTCGCAGCTGGGAGTCACACCAAAGATATTCGGTCTCGGGCGTGAACACTTAACCTCCAGACTACTTAGTGGAAATCAAATGGTCTATCAGTCTTCTATTTATTGATGAATTACTTATTATCAGCAAATTATTACAGTTAGAATATCAACCAACTTTTATTTATACATGATCTTGAGTTGTACCAGTTGTTAATCAGTAATAGATCGGTTAGGCTAATTACGCTCTACATTCTGATGGAAAACACTACGGTTTCTCAGAATTTATGAAAGTATGCTTCATCTAAAATGTTTAATTGTTTTGTTTGTGTGCATCTGTACTCTACCGATTTACAACTCGTGAATTACGAGTCAATTGTTTTAAAACATTCATCGTCAAGCTTCAAAACTACTAACTAAATTTTTTCTGATAATCATTACATTTTGATATATAGATGAAAAGATGGCTTAGTGGATAAAGCTCTTAAATCAGTTTTATTTGTATTGGTCTTTTATTAATATTACCTCATTTAACAACTACCGATTCATGCTTCAAGTATAAAGGGCAGTAATACTATCCGGTCACTCAAATCGAAGTAGTTGGAATGGGTTTTGAACCTGCTACGTAGCAGCTTCAAGTTCGATCAGAAACTCAGGCAGTCCTTGTTAAAACATGTGGATTTTGACAAAATGTTTCGATATTGGATCCATGTAGTCTAAGCCTCCAACCAAATGAGTATAATTTATAAAGATCGTATTACTTCCGGTCATTTAGCATTCATAAACTGTTCTTATTAGCTTTGCAGATTACTTGATAACTTATTTTTGATGCCTGCTAATAACGTATCACCATAAATTGTGTAAATTTTAATAAAAATTACATCAGTTTCGTAGTTGTCATTGTGGATACTTTGGTTAACACAGTTTAGTTTTGCTAAAAGAAATGAAACACGGAATCCTCCTCTTAAGCAAGAATAATATTTCCTGCATGATTAGTTTTATCTAATCATTTTGTTTCTACTATAGTACAGTAAATTTTATACGCACTCAGTTATGATCTAAATGTTTTGTGTAACATTTGTATCTTTTAAACCTAAAATATCAGATTAATCATTTTTTTCTGTGTTAGTTAAAGTTTGTTGTAAAGACAAAGAAATGAGAAAAAAAGAATCCTAATTTTTTTTGTTTATTTTTATTATAATACTGATAAATTCCATCATCTTTTACACTACATTTTCTTTATTTTCTTCTTTTTTAATTTCGGGTCATCGTTGAAATTACAACTAATAAATTAAAATTTTTATTGTAATCAGAAATCTCAAAGTTCCAGCTTTTCTAGCAGATCTACGGAAACCGAAACCACATGCAACATTTCTGCTCAAGCATATCCCGCATATCATTCCACACAAAGAAGTACGTCTTGTTATTTAAATAATATTAATGAATGAATTTTTTTCTAAGCGTGTTATTCTTTTTCGCGATTTTGTACGTGAAGATAAAGCATCACTGGGGATACATACTCGCACAAATTGGCTTACAGATGATGGTCCAGTTGGTGCTGTCATCACAGTTCATAGAAATCGTATTGTTGAAGTAAGTTTTGATGCATAATAATTATTATTATCGATAAGTAGATAAAATATGTTGTGAAGTAGTTGTAACGTAACTATATTACTAATTCACTTTGTTTTACTTTCAGGACGGATATCAACAGTTGGCAAATTTAACTTCACCTCAGTTGCGTATGAAAATACGTGTACAGTTTGTAAACGAAATGGTATGTTTGGATTTAGAGATAAATTATTATATGTAGTTATGGTAATGCTTAAGTTTTTTGTTGTATAATTCTCTGTGTATATTACATTTGATAATTAAAAAGTAGACTTTCACGAGAGACTGTACAACTTATGTGCCTAATGGTCTCTGCGGTAAATAACATCAATTTGAATGTTATGCTTTTATTAAGGAATGAATGAACTTAAATACAGACAGAGCTGTCATATACACATGGATTTAGAGAAAAAGACTTAGCTTTCCGAAAGACTGATCCGTGTTCAAAAAGTGTTGTATTATTAAGTTTTAATCATAGTCATTTGAAAGGTAGATGGCAATCTAAAAAAAGGCAGTTCTCTTTCATTTTTGGTCTCTGAAGTCTTTCCCATACATTTGAAGAGGACAGAAAGACCATTCAACGGAAATGCATATTTATCTATCTTTCTTGGACAATTCATCATGTACTTTTGATATGGAACAACTATGTACATATTACAGCAGAAAATGACTGACATTCAGTAAAATTAGGAAAAGTGAAAATAACCAATGAAATGTCAGCAGTGGTTATTACGAAAATATAAATTAAAAAAATATTATCGTTGTTATCCCTACGTTGAGAAATTATCATTTAATGATGACAAAGATCTAGATAGCTTAATATCTTCCTGATAAACTATTAAAAACAAATAAATCAGCAATTGGTAGCCTGTAACCTCCTAACTGTTCAGCATACTAACAAAATTACTACTATTCTGAACTTTATTTACTGAATAATAGTAGGTCTGATTATCTAAAAGTTTGATCGTTAGGTGAACAGTTATCAATGACAATTTTCACACCTCTTTACGTATTTGATGTGTAAGCCAATTTCGATTTTATGATTCAACTGTTCATTCTTTTGTTTGTCTTAATATTTTAACGTGTAGGGTTTAGATGAAGTTGGTATTGATTTAGACGGTGTGTTTAAAGAATTCCTGGAAGAAACTCTTCGTCGTGTATTCGACCCTAGTTTAAATTTATTTCGTGTGACTAATGATCAGCGTTTATATCCGTCACCTACTTCACATTTACAAGAAAGTCATTTACAGCTCTTCGAATTTTTGGGTAAAATGCTTGCCAAAGCTGTGTATGAGGTTAGTGATTTTCATATCCATTCTGTGTATCATCTAGTGCTGATAGTGAATCGTGATTTTTTTAAAGAATCTAAATTAATATCATTTTAATCAGCTTTGATTTAACTTTTTATATAGAGTCTAGTGGTACTACTGGTCAGGTTGGGATTTAAATATGCATAAACTTAAAGTATCCTTAGTCTGTTAAATAATTATATAGTTTGGAGTAAAGCTAGATTATACTTGGATCAAATAAACACTTGAATGATGCATTGTTTAACCTTTGAGTAATTCATATAGAATTAGTATCGAAAACCCTTCATATATTGGTAATTTTACTAAGGCCGACTGTCATTTATTATATCATCCTAATAATGCAACATAAAATCACCGGTATGTTGTCTGAAGTCCCATATTATATTATTAGTACTGATAAAGTAAAAACTATCTAAGTCAAAACAGAAGTATTTGAGACTAAGTTCAAACTATCCTTACAAACCTTTTAACTATTATTTCATACTGATTGGAAAACATTTCCAGAGTTCTAATTATGATGGTCAGTACATTCGTATATCGATTTTTGTTTTACCCTTACATGGTTTTGTAAATTTGTTTCTCATGTAAGTAAATACTGAAAATATTCGAGAATAAATACATCCTAGTGATGCATATAGGTTGATGCTTCAGACAATAATCTATATATTATTATCTCATGAGCGATGTTACTATCCCATTTTGATCAACTACATTTAAATAATGAAAAAAGCTGAAGCGTACAACATAAGTAATCAATCTATGTTTCAACTTTGTATTTCTGGGTATATACAGTGCTTATTTTTGTAGTTCTTGGATCAGTTTTTGTTAGAATCTGAATAAATTATGTAAGCGTTTGTCTAACTGAATAATCAATTATATCGTGAATAATTCACATTTTATGTACCACAAAGACACTATTGGAATTGTGTAATTATCTAATACCTTGTGATAATGTTCAAAAGCAATTGAAGTGAACAGGTAGATTATATCTTCAACTAATTGTCTTGTATTTCAATGACGTTAAAACAGATGAAATATTAAAATGATGAAGATTTGCAACCGTGGTAGATTATGTAGTAGGTGTTGAAGATGTTATCCAAAGTGACAATGAAAATTCTGCAATTAGACCGTCTTGCGAATAACTGCTTCAAAAATTGAAAGAACTTGATTGTAATAATAATAAATACGGTAAGTGTTATAAGCATATGTAAATACTTTCGAACACTACACGATAAACTTGCGTCACAACATACGTGTATTTTAAAGCAATTAGTCCCTTTGGTAAATTACGATAGTGTAATAAGAAGACAAAGATTATCAGAACTAAGTGATATATTAGCGCAATTCATTTCGAACAATCTGATCACAAATATACGTGTAGTTGTTAGGACTACGATTGTTTACTCAATATCAATAAGTAATATAAAACATTACACAAAAGAGTCGAAGGGAAGTGAATGAGGACAGAGAACGTAAAACAGACTTAACACACATAGTTATTCATTGTACACATATATTCTCATCCAGATCATCATAGTTACATTTATCTGCCAATCACAAACATTTGGATACATTGTCATAAAAATACATATGGCTAGTGTTTTCGTTTTTATTCTCATTGTTACGCAGTTATGACACCATAGTAGTAAGCTATTGCACCTTTTATAAACAGTAAACAGTACAGAATTTGTTTTTATACTTTTCTTAGTGTATTGTTGTGGATGTGCCATTCGCAAACTTCTTTTTAACTCAATTACTTGGCCGTGAAAAAGCAGGATGTTACAGTTTTCTTGATGAATTAGCTACATTAGATAAAGAATTATACAAAAGTTTAAGTTATATTAAAGTTAGTTGAATTCTCTTTATTGATTAATTTTTATATTTTATATTGTCTAACAAATATAACTCTAAAATAATTCACATAATTTCCTTCACGTTATAAGAAATTATTAAAAAAAGATCAGACATTTTGTGTATTTATTATTTACTTGAACACATAAACATTGGTACGAGGGCACCAAATACATATGCACCACACAATAACAATGAGGTTGTGAAAAGATAGAGAACAAAGGATAAGTTTAGTAAAAGGAAGACCAACGATGATCACAAAAAAATAGTGTATTGAAATGAAATAATAATAATGAGAGTAGTTCAGTTAGGAAAAATACAGCCAGAAAGAAGTTACGTTCACTTTAATGTTGAAAGTAAAAGAAATCTACAGCAGGATCGCCACTAGCTTCTCTTCTGGGCCATCTCTCATAACGTCTCAAAGCAATGTGTTGCAATATCTCTAAGAGGGAGTCGTGATGGATCAACAGAAGCCAGTCCTGTACAGCTTTGTTTTATACCACGACACCATGTCATACACTTGTAGTATCAGTTTATATGTTAAGCCCATATACGTTATTCTAGCTTCTGGCCAAGCCAATTCGCCTATCCATAAGCACTTTGGTGATGGCTGGGAAGCCAACTCGCTATGAGCAAGCATTACTTAATATTTATAATCAGGCAAAAATGAATGACCGACATATGATGAATAGAATACGAAGTATGCATATATATACGCTCATATAAAAAAGTAGTCAAGGTTAATAAGCGAATAATGAACAAGATCAAAATATGACTCATAATGTATGGGTGAATTAGCTTGGCCAGAAGCTAGAATAAAGTGCGTGGGCTTAACATGTAAACTGATACTACACACTGGACACCTCACGACTTTTCCAAGCAGTCCCAGCGTAAACAAATAATGCACGACGTGGGATTCTCTGGTATGACATTCGTAAGACACATGTATGCCAACGAAGTCGATGTTTCAAAATGATGACACCGATTGAATTGTCGTCTCTGTATCCAAACACATGATGCCGAACTCCTACAATATGATGTTGCGACCGAATGTTAGCAGTCCTTCGTAGACAACAATGATCAAACACAGAGAGTCCTCTAACATCCTAAACTCGAAGAGATCAGGTTTCACAAGTATGAAGCATAACAGACTGTAATTTTTGTGGAAATAAATGTAAACATACCTAATTTTGATGACGTGTGTTTTACTAGTAATAATTTTGGTAATATGTTGATGATTTTCTCCTGATATTATTATTGAAGCTATCCTTTTTTAATGTTTTTCATAAAATACCAACTTTACTGGTTGATCCCATTTTTATTATCGATCTATAAGTTTGTCATATGTGTATGTCATCGTTTGTTTTAATTATGTGACTAAACTTGACAAAAGTGCTTATCTTATCCGTTAGGGTAAATTTTGTTTCAGATTCGACGTTGCACATAGCTGACTTATATATTTTGAACACAAAAGACCATATCTATCTTCACAGATAGTATAATTCTGATGTTTAACACATTGCAATTAGTGTGATTTAATTAAATAGATCGACTAGTAAAATTTTGAATTCGTTCTACTCATCTATGACTATCATGACAGTTTATTTAGTCATGAAACGCGTTGTATCATAAAAATTATCAAATAGATTCACTAAATACTTTGTAAATTGAGATAAGACTTATTCGCTATAGTCTTAATTGAATGTGCATTATTTTATGTGTTGATGTTAGGCTATGACATAGTGGTGAAAAAGATTCTAGTTTTAACCAGTTGGAATCCTACTGCTATGATTTTTATTTAAATAACTTAGTTATTATTAACCTTCACAGGAGCAGTCTGTCCCAATGCTGAATGGATCAACTTATAATTTGTTGTTGGGTTAATTTAACATTTTAAAAAATCCTCAATATTGTCAGTAATTTTTCATACTTGACGTATGTTTCTTATTCATAATATGAATTATATTTTTTCTTAGCATTATGATGGAGATGTTTCCGATCTGGAATTCACTTATTCCTATGCTGAAGATTGTCTAGGTCAAGTGATTATACATGATCTCTGTCCTGGTGGTCGTCAAATTTCTGTGACGAATGATGTCAAGTAATCTATTTCTTTCTCGTTTTTTTTACGCCTAAGTAATTTCATGTTAAATGTGTATAAAGCATTGAAGTAAAGCGTTTATATTTATAGTGTACATAATTTTTCTCATATTATGTTCCCTAATGAGGTGCTTCTTAAATTGTGGTTTATTGTGGTAAATATTCACAGCTTTTTGATGTTACATAATATTTTGTCTGTATATCATATTATCTATCCTCAATGTCCTAGAAAACAAGAAGTTTTAAGATTTCTGTCGATAATGAATATAATGTTGATTGTTTTAAATTTTTCTGCTTTCATTATACTGTATAAGTGTTAGTAGTTTACAGAAGATTAGGCTCCGTCAATTTCCGATGTTTCACAAAATAACAACATATTCTTTATTCAAAAAGTCAATTACTATTATAGTTTACAATTTAAGTAGTTAATTTATTGCTCGAATTTAATTTCAAAGCGGTTTGTTAAATTATTATTTTACAATCCCAGTCAGTCGGAGTTTTTCTTTTTGGCTAAAATTATTGATTATCTATAAAAGTATTTCCTTCTTACTAAATGCTTCAATGAAAAGTTAATTTGCTACCCACAGAAATTAACCACGACCAGTTACTTCAGTAATATTACACTTAGTAAATTTACGCATGTTTTCACATTTCAAATTTAATCAATAAATGATATTGTTTAAAATTTTGACCGTTGTAATCTTAGATCATATATTCAATGTTCAAATATTTTTTTTCATTTCAATTATGCATTTTTTTGCCTAAAGAATAAGTTACGTTCATAGTGTTGCTCACTTTCGAATGTATAAACAAATTAGAGCACAGACTGCTTCTTTTATACGGGGATTTTACTCTATACTAAATCCTGATTGGTTGGCTATGTTTTCTCCGTCAGAATTACAAACACTTATCTCAGGTGACAGTAGTTCAATGGATATTGATGATCTAAGGTAAGTAAACAATAAACTATGTTTTAATAGGTTTATACTTTGATGAAATTCATTTTTGTCATTAGTCAGTGTCAATGAAACTTATTTTATGATGGGAGTATATAAAATTGCATTGGTCCCTATCCAGTTTATTGCGTGATTGAATATTATATTTATCCCCACATGTACACTTTTCTTGTGCATATTTATATTGATTTTGTACCTAAATATTTAAAATGGATAATACTGTCACAAATTAAGGCAAATAAACATCACTATTCTAGATAACCCCGAAATTCCCTGATATGGCCGTGGACAGGAAAGAGCCTGCTCTCCTTGAAATGTTCTCATATGGCCGTGCGTATTTAGCCACTATCAAGGAAAGTCAACCCACTTCATTCTCTTGGTGTGGCTTTCGTTTATGAAATTGAGAAAACGAAAAGAGTATATCCGACGCTTGAATAGGGTTGGTAGATATGTGGGATCCACCTACGGGAGTTGGAAAACCCTGATTCCAAGCCATTGGTGCACATGGGCTCCAAGTTCTTGAGGGAAACAAATGAAGTGTTAGCCTATCATCAGTCATCGGTAACCATGGGGTGGCATCTCTTAACGTTTCTCTACTACCTTGTGGATTAGACGTTTGGGTCAAAGACTTGAGGGATGACCCCCTAAGAATATCACCTACCTCGGTTTGGGCACGCAAGTAATATCCCAGTACACACACAAAGGCATTGATAACAACTTTGTGTGGGACATATATATTTTGGTACCCCTTTGTGCCAAGGTTTATGTGTTTAAATAATAAATCATGCCTTCCAGATTTAAGTGGTTGAGTAATTTTTTTAAAATGTATTTAGCTTGAAATCTGTTGGTATCATTTTAAAACAATTCTACTGTTCATAGCTCAGTTTACTACCAAATCGTTTCTACAACATGCTTTGATACATTCGCTTCCCTTCATTTCTGTAGACAACATACACGTTATTCAGGTGGATTTCATAGTAATCATCGCGTAATTCGATGGTTATGGGATATTTTAAGACGTGATTTCGATGATAGAGAACGTAGTTTATTTTTGAAGGTAAGTTGTTTTCATTTATTTCTACTCCTTAATTTATCGACATAACTAGTTATTATTTCACTGTCCGTCTCACAATCCATAAAATAATTTCAATCATATCATTGTCTTAATTTTTCTGACAAGAAACCTGTACATCTTAATTTATAGTCAATATGTTCTCCGTTTACGCTTATTTGTGTCATTATTTATATAATTGTGTTTAAATAAAAGTGTATCGACAGTGGAACTTGCACTTTGAAGGAATAACTTATGGCATATTGTATTACTAGCTTTAAAGCTTCTGTCTAGAACCTCATATATTTAATAAATTTATATCAATCTTATGCTACTTGTAATCAGAGAACTCTTAAGTGGCATATATGTGCCTGTGAACTTTCATGCGTCATTAACCTTTGTTATATCGTGCGACAAGTCTGTACTAACTAGTAACCAGTTAATAATAGATATATTTTTGTCATATTTCAAAGGGAAGAAAAATTGTATTTCTGATGTTTTATGATTTAGTGCAAGCCACTTCTTCAGAGTAAATGGGTAATGATACCTATAGTAGCCAGTTAGCTTACAGTAATATTTTATGTGTCATATTATTTGCAGCTGGTTGATTGTCTAATATGTCAGTGACCTTAAGTTTTATATACAATGTATTGTTAGTTCTCTTTTAGTGTTTACTCATAATGCACTGTTAAAAGAAGCATAGTTCATAGTATGTTGTGTCTTAGTGGAATTCTTGCATTACGGTTACGGTTAAATTCGTCCAGTCGAATAATCAAAGTTGTTCAGCCGATACAATTAGTTATTTCTGTACAACTCTTAAATGTGTCTGTTCAGTAATTAAATCCAAAGTTAATAGGTTGACAGCCAACTGGTGCAGTTAACTGTTATCTCACCAGTCAGTCAAAATGTACTTGATTTGTCTCTACATTAATTTCAGAAATGTTTCCTACAGGCAATATATACATAAATTGTTACCCTTCATACTTCCTCAGTGTTTATTGAAATAACATATTTCATTTGTTCTCTACGTAATAAAAAATCAATTGTTTCTGTTTTTTCTATAGTTTGTCACCAGTTGTTCTAGGCCACCTCTTTTGGGGTTCGCTAATCTTGAACCACCATTTTGTATACGTTGTGTACATTATACTAATGAAGATCAAGTAGGTTATCTTAAATTATTATTGAAATTATCTTGGTGAATAAAACATAAAGGCCAATTAACGTCGATTACTTTATGTCTATGAGATTTTACCGATTTTTATTGTTAGTTATGGATGCAAACCAGTGATAGAGTGAATAACCAAATGACTGTGCCTCATCTCCTTTTCATGCTAAAACTGTCCGTAATTAGTGGGTTTTTTCTTGTTTACATTACAATGACAGTTGATATTCTGCTAATGGAAATATAAGAAGATAAAAGTATTAGTTTGAAAACAAGTGGGAAAATGTAATATGGAGGTACAGAGGAGGGAGTTGAGAATAGAGATTCTGTTTCTTAAAAATAATTCATGTTGTTTACTTTGTTAGAAATTATAACTCAAAAGTGAAAATAGAAAAAATTCGTAAGAGATGTGTTTCACGATGCATTTCATTTTCGTCAATTTTGCCATAATTTATAATCAATGACATCTAAATATTTGCGATCTTTATCTAATCTATGTATTTATTGTCAATGAATTTCTTGTTTACAGTTTTGAAATAGCAATTATCTCCATTTAATGAATATTTTCCCATGATTTTTCTTCTGATTTTTACAGGATGTCGGTGATACTCTAGGATCAGTACTAAAAGGATTTTTGGGGGTTGTTGGGCGCCGTGAAGAAGTATCTCGCTTACCAACTGCATCTACCTGTTTTAATCTCTTAAAATTACCTAATTACTCATCTCGTAGTGCATTGAAAGAAAAGTTAAGATATGCCATCAATAGTCATGCTGGGTTTGAACTATCGTAGCGGAGAAATTTCTTATGAAGCTACAAATAATATGTACTTTTTATTTTCATGATAGAAAGCTGTAAATATGCATTATGTTTAATATTTTCATTTCATTTAGTCAATTCTTCGATGGCCAACATATTTTGTTGTTTAAATTTACTTCATACTTTTAATTTATTCACATTTTCAATTCATAGTGAATAACTCAGTGTCATTGGTCAATTATATTATAATACTATGATATGTTTGATGGTACGTTTAAATGAATGTGATGATTGTGGGCAAAAGTTTTAATCTTACCATTTTGATAACCTGCCGAATAATGCTATTTTCTAAACGTTTTTATTCTTCATATACTTCCTTTCCCAAATAGATTGAACAAATTGCCATTTAATTTACAATGTTAGTTTCGTTACTTGATACTTTATTGTCCTCAGTGGGAAACACAACTCGGTTCTCTAACTAGTACTTGAAAATACTCTGTCATCTAGAACTCACTGGTAATCATATTTCGAATTCGTTTTTTACTGTTTCACACTTGGAGTAAGTAATGTTCAACACAGAGTTTGGCAGAAATGTATATCAACATAATTTATCATATCACATCACTGTGGGAGAATAAGTCAAAATTGTGATGGCACAGACGACATTAACAGTGACTGGACATTAAAGCTTACGGTTTGAGTAAGATAATTTCGTGTAATTAGAGATACCGGACTTTATGTAAGCTCTCGAATTTAGAGGAGGATGAAGGCTGGGGACATACCTATGCCACTGAGACTTGACGTGAAGAAGGTCGCGTGACTCAACGACTGTCATAAGTCAACTCCGATCTTAACCATATATTCAACAAGCCTCGAGTAGGCAGTTAGTGACACCATCGACTAGTCCCATATCTACATCTGCCAGTCCTCTCATCCAATCTGTTGAAGCAGATATTGCACATCGTAGTATGGAGTGATATCACGTGTTCAATGATTTCGAAGTTCCGTATGTTTGCTTAATATTGTATAGCAGGATTCACTTTTATTTGTGTTTCGTCTTGACGACTTTTGTGGTCACGGTCTAGAACCGTAGATATTTTGTAATTCATTTTGCAGATGAAGTAACAGAGAGTCTACAGCTGAATTGTATTCCCGATTAGTGGACTGTTCCCTCACCTCTCTGGAAAAAGCGCCAGTTGGAAGAACACGAATAAATTTTCCTATTTTAAGCTAAACTATTGTCGACAGCAAGAGTTAGTGAAACTTTATTTATGGGTAGGGTTGTCAAAACTAATAAGATATACTCTAGGAATAGCTAAAGCATTGACGCAGATGGACTATTAGCATTCCTGTGGTTGTACTCATGTAGACCATCATATTCACCAATTCAAGCGGCATCTTATATGGAAGTCAGTGCTCTATAAACCCTGTGTGCTCTCTTCGCTTGATTTTCATCGCCGATATAAAGCTTGGTTCGCTACAATCAAAGCGTAAAAAGTTCTTGCGGAACAGAGAAATACTTTTCCTACCTTGAAAATTAATTCCGCCCAATAGCCTACGAGGGCAACGTGATCATTCTATATAAAACCATTGATTTGGAGTTGAACATTTCCTCCGTGGGAACGAGTGCTGAATGAATCACTTGGCAACTTTTCAATCTGTATTCAGAAACCCTAGGTAGATTTCTGTCGAAAAAGTTTGTAGCTCAGACATGCAAACTGCCTAGAATAGCTGGATGTTATCTGTGGAACATAAACATTAGTTCCATATAAGTGTCTTAGATTTCTTCAAGCATCTCGGTGGAGTTCATAAACAATTTCCCTACGTAAAACCGAAGACATCGGCTGTCAGATTATGAAGGCTAGCAAAAAATGACTATGATACCTGTATCCATATTTTCCCGATTGACTACATTACTCCAGTCTACTTTTAGGCCAACACTTCAGTTTTTACTCCTAGAAGCTATCACTGTTTTCTACTCCCCCAATACACAAGATATGTCAGACCAGCTACAAGCCTATCATTGTCTGAACGCAACATTTTTCGCTGTCGAAATAGATCTAAACATCTTTGCCTGGCACGCTATAAATATTACTTGTCGGAATTCTGTGGTAAAATAAGCATAATGCCTTTCGCGGTTTATTCCCCTGTAGCCTTCAGGACATCATATTTGAACCGAAAGATGTAACAGGTATTCGGATTTTGACGACACCTTAACCAGTAACAACTATTATAACCGAAGTATGCCAATTCAGGCTAATCAGAAGACAGAAATGTACGTGTTCGGAGATGCATTTGAAGGGCTATTAGTATATCGGGAAGCATTGAATCTACGTTGACTAACGATTGTAGGAGATGCGTAGCATAGCGTATCCACTTGTGATTTGGTGTGGATGCGTGACTGGTCACCTTCAGCAAGTGAGCCCAGCAAAACTAATTAGGCCATCGTCAAATTGGAAGACTTATAGAACTATTGATTTTGGAGGTTGATTATACGCCACAAACTGTTTTCACTCACTAAAGTAAGTAGGCACACAGTGCTTCACATCTATTATTATAGCTAGCCAGCTTAGATTGGTCACTTCTTGATGTACCCATAACTTATAAAAGATAACTCCGAATCTCTTTGCTTCTGAATTTTGACTTGAATAGGTTGGCATATTTCAATTATAAAAGTTGTTACTGGTTACGTTGTTGTCAAACTCCGAATATATTAGCACGATCAGGGTTTTAAATCAGTCTGGTAAGTATCGCAGTTTAATTGGAGGTTCTAACTAGTTTCGATGTTCATAATATGGTCTTCTTCATCCATATCAAATTACTATGTGGCACTTCGTTCACGGCTTTTTATGAGTATTCGACTTAGATGGCACTAGCTCTCATTCAGTCTAACCTGTCGATTTCAAATGGTTAAAATGGTTGTGGACGGAATAGTACAAGCTTTCGCTTAACGGGCTTCCGTGTCTAGTAGCAGTGGATCACCAATACCTCCAGACAATAACCTAGGTATATTAAATTGGTAAATCAAAATAATATGTTATCTTTAGTCTGTAGTAGGGTCGAGTCGAGGATGGACTATGATCACTACTACGATACGACTTGGTTCCTTTGATAACGCGTAAACCAGAAGCATATTTATTGGCGATCTCGTGGTATAGAAGGAATACAGAGACGTGCCAACGAGTACAGGTGAAATGGGCAGAGCGTAAGAAAGTCCGAACCGAACAAGGCGGATAGCGGAACAAGAAGTGAGTCTGATACAGTTAAACAAGTACAGTTAAACAAGTACAGTAAAACTCACTGGTACAATTGGTTACAATAATAATAATAATAATTGATGAGCAGAGATGGATAGTGGCTAGCAGTGGAATCCAGGACGCGCGTTTCGTCCTATTTGAGACTCGTCAGCTGGACGTACCTGCATCTCAGAGTTGATGTTCACTTCGGGACTCGAGCACAGTACCCTCGCTTCAAACGCCATCGCGTTATCCACTCGGCCACTGAGTCCTGAGGCAATACGCACAGTATGCACATATGCCAATTAGAGACTGACCCGTTGCAGTCCTAAACACATCGATGGGAAGATCCAAACAAACAATACTAAGTGAATTCAATAATAATAATTGTTTCTTTTATTCCAATCGTGTTCTTATCGAGACAGGCCGGTCACTACAAGTCCTTAAAAATAGGTCAAGTTTCCTCTTAAAATACTCCTGGGAAGTCGCTTCGACTAGCTCAGTTGGCAGCGAATTCCAGCATTTGACAACTCTTACGGAGTAGAAATTATGTCTACAGTCCGTTATGCTATGTTGGGTCTCCAGTTTCTGGGTATGAACCCTTAGGTTTGTATTGTGACCAAGCTTAAGTAGATGTTTAAGGGGATGACCGGAAATGGGAATTTATGGTTGCACATCAAATGGTTCAAATGGTTGAGGACGGAATAGAAGAAGCTTTCGCTTAACGGGCTTCCGTGTCTGTTAGCAGTGGATCACCAATACCTCCAGGTAAGAACCTAGGTATATGAACGATAATAGAGGGAAAAAAAGAATTTGGTAAATCATAATAATATGTTATCCTTAGTCCTTAAGAATAAGTCAAGTTTTCTCTTAAAGGACTCCTGGGAGGTCGCTTGGACTAGCTCAGTCGGCAGCGAATTCCAGCACTTGACAACACTAACGGAGTAGAAATTGTGTCTGCAGTCTGTTCTGCTATGTAGGGTCTCCAATTTCTGGGTGTTACCTCTGAGGTTAGTGTTATGACTAAGCTTAAGAAGTTGTTTAAGGGGATGACCAGAAGTATTAAGGATACTATAAGTCATAAGAAGATCACCTCTAAGACGCCTATACTCTAACGGGTAAAGGTTAAGTGATTTGAGGCGCTCTTCATAAGGTTTGAATTTGAGACCCCGAACTGATTTCGTGGCTTGACGTTGTATACGTTCCAGAGTGACCTTATCCTTTTGGAGGGAGGGAGGAAATACTATGTTTCCGTACTCTAAGTGGGGACGAATAAAACTGTTGAAGATTATGTGGAAGGTTCTACTGTCAAACTGGCCAAAAATGCGCTTCAATGTTACCAGTGCAAGGTTTGCTTGAGAGGCGTTTTTGTCACAGTTCGCATACCATTTCAGATCGTAGGGTACCAACACTCCTAAATCTTCTTCAACTTGGGAAATTTCTAGAGGTGAGTTACCTAAGTTATAATTATAGTCTGCAACATGTCTCAGATGGACTACCTTGCACTTTGAAGTGTTGAAGGTAAGTCCGTTGTCGTCTGCCCAACTTTGAAGTCGAGTCAGATCCTCCTGAAGAACTAGTATATCATTGTGATTACGTATCTCTCTCCAAAGTTTCACATCATCAGCAAAAAGCAATAAATCAAATGAAACTTGTTGAGGAAGATCGTTAATATAAATCAAGAAGAGAAGAGGTCCTAGTATTGAACCCTGGGGGACCCCACTGGGACATTCCATAGCCTGAGAGAGAGTGAAGTTAACCCTGACCTTAAAATGTCGGTTTTCTAGGTATGAAGTGATCCAGTCAATTAAAGGGGGTTTTATACCCAATCGTCCAAGCTTCTTGATAAGACTTGTATGGTTGACCCTATCAAAAGCTTTTGAGAAGTCCAGGTAGATGACGTCAACCTTCCCCTTGCGATCAAGGATGGTTGTCTATCTATCCACCGCAGTTAGCAGTTTGGTCATACAAGAATGACCTTTTCTGAAACCATGCTGTTGAGGCGAGAAGAACTTTGAGGATGATAAGTGTTCTAGTATGCCGTCGAATACTAGGGATTCCATAATTTTGGAAGGTATGGAGAAAAGGGACACTGGTCGGTAGCTTGACGGTTCGCTGCGTCGACCTCCTTTGAAAATTGGTGTGATGTGGGCCAGCTTCCATATTTCCGGTAGTTTGCCTCTGCTTAGCGAGTGTGCAAACATCACGTTAAGTGGTGTCGCCAGGATTGAAGCTGCTTCCCTCAATACAGCGGAATGAACCATGTCCGGACCAGGAGAAGTGTCTTTTCTTAGGTGCTGCAGTTTACGGAGCACCAAGTCAGCACTCAGGTCCACTTCGGAAAGTCCTGTACAGGTGCAGGTGAAGCTTTCGTCAGTATGGTTGATGTGGGTCAGCTGGAATGTCCGGGAGTAATGTTCAGCCAAAAGGTTAGCGGCATCACTGTCGTTGTTGGTCGGGCCATTAGGACCAAGCAGTTGGGAAACTCCAGTTTTGCCTTGTCGAAGAGAAGCTGCATAACTGAACAAGCTTTTCGGATTGGAGACGAATTTATCGATAAGCTTGGTCTGGAACTGAAGCCTGTCTTCTCTTATTGCCTTTGTGCATATGTTCCTTATATGTTTGTATTGCCTGTACGCGCCGTTGTTATCAGTTCGTTTATATTCAGCCCAACAGTGCCTTTTGCGGCTTAGCAAACGACGAGTGCGGTTCTTGATGATTGCAGGTTGCTTGTAGCTTTTTGGGACCATTTTAGGAACTGAATGCTCAGTAGCATATAAGATCGTGTGCAGTAAAAAATCCCAATGAGCATCCACTTCAATTTGAGGTTGAACATCCCAATCCACCTGTTGAAGATAGTCCTGTAAAGCTAACACATTCAACCGTTTGAAGTTCCAGCGCTTGTTGCTAGTAGGATATCGTAGCTCCGTCTTGCTGACAAAGCTGAATGATAAGACGGCGTGATCACTTTTCCCCAGGGGAGCCAGGATTGAGAAGTCGTCAACTAGGAATTCTTTGTTTGTGAATACCCAGTCTAAGCGTGACGGCGTCTGACTGTTTCTCCAACGGGTTGCCGACTTCACATTTTCAAATAATCCCAGGTCGCTGATAAGGTTGAAGAACAGAGCTTCAGTAGAGTTGGCACCACCAATGTATGTATGTTCCACGAAGTTGATTCTAGGGAGATTGAAATCCCCCAGAATCAGGATATGAGAGAATCCGAGACGCGTAGAGCGAGTTAATCCTTCCAGCAGACGTTTGTCATATTCGATGTCGGCAGTGGGCTTCCTGTAAACGACTCCAACTAGGCACCTCGAGGTGGTAGATAATCTTACTGAGCACCATACTGACTCGTCAAGATTGTGAAACTCTTGGTTGTGAAGTTGTTGTGCATCCAGGCTTGACCGTACGTATAGTGCTACCCTACCCCCCATTCCTGTTTTTCTGTCGTTGCGAAATAAAGACATCCCAGTTATCGCTAACTCTTGGTCCGTAAACTGAGACGTTATCCAAGTTATATCATCACCATCAATCTGCTATTAGCCATGTTTTGTGAGGATCTGCTCTGTGTTGTACGAATTCTCATAAAACTAGAGGGTTTCACTACTTCTTTAGTACGCGTTGAGCATCAGCGTTTAGTCCTATTTTTTTATTTTGATCACTCTTCCTCCTTGGTTCAGATGAATCAAACAGCTATCTTTTCTCTCCGAATTCGACAGTTCTTAATTAATACACATGAAATAATAATCCTTTTTCCTTCAGTGATAAGGGTGGTGTTTAAAACAATCTCACCGCTCAATATGATATCTAGTGCTACCATTGTTTTGATACCAGGTGGTTGGGTAACTATGTGTTTCGATAATCTACGACCATTCCTTTGTAAGCTTATATTAAATATAAGATATTGTAGATTAGAAACTCACTGAGCTTTGTTTTTTCCACTACTAGGTATTGAATAAAGATGGTCACCTACTCTCATTACAATTCAATGATTATGGACAGAGTCTCAACGAATGGCTTGACAGCTATGTAGAATTTTTTCGGTTTCAGCATTTTCGCATCCATAGCACAAATATGCCTGTTTCCGTCCTTAATAAAAACCTCTAAAACTAATCAGCCAGTCTTAACAGCAGTTGTTTCCAAAAATAGAGACATGGTTTAGTTGTGATAAAGATAGATTCAACCCATTTGGCAGGTATGACTTCATGCATCTGGAACTGAGCCCTGTTATATACATTTATGGTAGCTGTACTTTACGCACCGACTGAATGTTTGGGAAGTACGTACCCGAAACCAAAATAATCAAAGCTGTGTTTTAAGCATCAAGTGTTTATTCCATTTATTTACCACGAGATTGAATAAAAAAGCTGGTATACTCCTTGTGAAAATTACTATTTCCGTCCATTATAACCTTAGAAACGAAGTGTTTTACGATCTTTGCTCCTAAATGTGTTATTTACAGGAACGTCGTTAGTGAGAAGATATATTTCTACCAGCGCGGCCTAAAAGCGGCATTTACTGACATGACTCAAAGGGCGAGACTGTAATTTATGAACGAGCCAATCAGAAGCGTTTGAAGGATTCCAGGTCACTGCTGATTTCAGTACCTGATGCTCATGTACGATCGGTTCACAGATAATTTTAGAGGATGTGTGACAATTAAGCCTCAACGAAAAAGGGACTACTTAAAACGTTCTTTTATTTGTAATTGCGGTAATCAAACGATATGTAGACCTTGTGCAGACTACAGTAATGATGTCTTTTAATGTGATATATGTTAGAAGTATGATATAGGAACTCTCTTCGCTCGATCCAAATTAAGACTAAGACAAATTATTGTAATTGATGCGAATTGCATAATAAAAGCGCCAGTAAGATTGGCTGCAGTGTTCGCAGATCTCCAAATACTGTAGCATCGATGCTACTGAAGCTTCGGCTATTCAGTGGTATGAATATTGTAGATATATGGGAAATGAATATGACAAGCTCACACAACCAGAGTACACACAAACAATATTGAAGCTATGTGGTAGAGGTTAAAAGAGTATTTGATACCTTATCATGGCTCCAGAGATCGACTATTATGGAGCTATATGGATGAGTTTCTGTACCATATGCACTACGATTTTAGAACCTTTGAACCTCTTTCTAACCTTGACAATTTTTTGGACCATGTAAATTATTATTTAAACACATAAATATTGGTACAAGGACTTACTTACGCCTGTTACTTCCAATGGAGCATAGGCCGCCGACCAGATTTCTCCAACTCACTCTGTCCTGGGCCTTCTTTTCTAGTTCTCCTTTGACCTTCAGGATTCCATGTGAGGGCTTGTCTTGTGACACAATTGGGTGATTTCCTCAAAGTGTGCCCAATACACTTCCACCGCTTCCTCCTGATTTCCTCCGCTGGAATCTGGTTTGTTGTCTCCTACAGTAACTTGTTGCTGATAGTGTCTGCCAACGGATCCGAAGTATCTTGCGTAGACATTTGTTAATAAACACTTGTATCTTCTGGATAACGGCTTTCGTAGTTCTCCACGTCTCCGCCCCATACAGTAGAACTGTCTTGACATTTGTATTGAAAATTCTAATCTTGGTGTTGGTTGACAATTGTTTTGAGCTCCAGATGTTTTTCAGTTGTAAGTATGCTGCTCTTGCTTTGCCGATCCGTGCCCTCACATCTGCATCTGATCCACCGTGTTCATCAATGGTGCTGCCCAGATATGTAAAGGTTTCCACATCCTCCAAAGCTTCTCCGTCAAGTGTAATTTGATTGGTGCATATTGTGTTGTATCGGAGAGTCTTGCTTTTCCCTTTGTTTATATTGAGACCTACTGCCGCTGAGGCTGCTGCTACACTGGTCGTTTTCTCCTGCATTTGTTGTTGCGTTTGTGATAGAAGAGCCAGATCATCCGCGAAGTCTAGATCATAAAGTTGCATCCTGTCTGTCCACTGTATCCCGTGCATTCCTCCATATGTTGACGTCTTCATGATCCAGTCGATTACCAGGAGAAAGAGAAAGGGTGAGAGTAAGCAACCTTGCCCAACACCGGTCTTTACTTGAAACGAGTCGGTGAGTTGTCCTCCGTGGACGATTTGGCAGTTTAGTCCATCATAGGAGTTCCGTATGATATTTACTATCTTCTCAGGCACGCCGTAGTGTCGAAGAAGCTTCCATAGTGTCGTCCTGTCCACGCTATCAAATGCCTTCTCGTAGTCGATGAAGTTGATGTAGAGTGATGAATTCCATTTGATTGATTGTTCCACAATGATACGTAGAGTTGCGATTTGATCTGTGCACGATCTATCCTTACGAAATCCAGCTTGTTGATCTCGAAGTTGGGCGTCCACGGAATCCTTCATCCTGTTTAACAATACTCTGTTGAAGACATTTCCTGGTATTGAGAGGAGAGTGATGCCCCTGTAGTTGTCGCACTTGCTGAGATCGCCTTTCTTTGGTATCTTGATCAGAAGCCTTTTTTCCCAGTCTGTTGGTACTTGTTCTTCGTCTCAAATCTTACTGAAGAGGATGTGAAGTATCTTGGCAGTTGCTGCTACATTTGCTTTCAGTGCCTCTGCCGGGATGTTTTCTGGTCCCGCTGCTTTGCCGCTCTTGATTTGTCTGATGGCCATGCTGATCTCTTCAATTGTTGGTGGGCCAACATCGATTGGGAGGTCTGTGGGTGCTGCTTCGATGTTGGGTGGGTTCAGTGTAGCTGGTCGATTTAAGAGTTCATTGAAATGTTCTACCCACCTGTTTCGTTGTTCCTCAATGTCGGTGATTACTTTGCCTTCCTTGCTTTTCACTGGTCTTTCTGGCTTACGGTAATTTCCAACAAGTTTCTTTGTTGTATCATAGAGTTGTCTCATGTTTTCCTCTCTTGCAGCCTTTTCCACTGTCATCGCTGAATCTTCCACATATTTACGTTTGTCGGTTCTGATGCTCCTCTTCACTTGCTTGTTTGCCTCTGTGTATTCGGCTTGTGCCTTGGCTTTTTCCGCTCTGGTTCGGCTGATATTGATTGTTGCCTTCTTGTTCCTCCTTTCTTCAATTTTATCCAGTGTACCAACAGTGTCCATTCCTTGTGTGGGTACTTCTTGTGGCTCAGAACCTCTTGACATGTTGAAACGATTGCCTCCTTGATACCTTTATAGTTGTTCTCCATGGTAGTTCCCTCTCTATTGAGTAGATCATGAAAGGCCTCGAACCTGTTGCTGAGGGCTATGTTGAATCTGTTGAGTTTTTCAGCATCTCGAAGAAAGGCCGTATTAAACTTTTGTGATGTTGTCCGCCCCGTTGTCCAGTGCTTCTTGAGTTTTAGTTTCATCTTGGCGACCAGCAAATGATGATCGGATGCTATATCAGCTCCTCTTCTGGTTCTCACATCCTCCATCGTCTTCCTGAACTTTTTGTTGATGCAGATATGGTCGATTTGATTCTGTGTAGTGTGATCCGGTGAAATCCAAGTGGCTTTGTGTATGTTTTTGTGTGGGAATATGGTGCCACCTATGACCAGTTTATTGAAGGCATATAGGTTTGCAAATCTCTCATCATTTTCGTTCCTTTCTCTCAGTCCATGTTGTCCCATGACGTCTTCGTATCCAGTGTTGTCCTTTCCAACCTTGGCATTGAAATCTCCCATCAGAATGGTCAGGTCCTTGGTTGGGCACTTCTCGAAGATCGACTGCAGCCTATGGTAGAATTGGTCTTTAGCGTCTTCATCGTAGTCGTTGGTAGGCGCATAGCATTGGATGACGTTCATTGTAATGCCCTCTCTCTTTGTTTTGAAGGAGGCTTTGATGATCCTTGGTCCATGAGATTCTGGACAGCATCAATGCAACTCCTTGTGTATGTGGGGCATTTTCTTCTTCATGACCGGGGTATAACAGAAGTTCTCCTGAAGACAGTCGTTGTTGTCCAATGTGTTTCATTGATTCTAAGCACTTCCAGGTTGTATTTTCTCATTTCTGCTGCAATTTGGAAGACTCTTCCAGTCTCCCACATTGTTCGGACATTCCATGTACCTATAAAAATTGTTGCTCTGGTTGTAAGAAGGTGCATTGGCCTCATGACTTCCGAATGAACTCGGCTTTCATCATGAGACGTCATAATTATTCCTTCTACTCCCAGGGCAGGGTTTAAAAGGTGTGAATGATTTTTTCTGGTTAGTGCTTTCTTAGCGAGTTGATTTTCTACGGGATGGGGTCGCTAACCCCATGCCCAATCCTCCTTCTTTACCCGGGCTTGGGACCGGCAGTAACCCCCAGAGGAGCTACAAGCGGAGTTATTGGTACAATGAAGCATCAGATAAATATGCGCCTCACAAATCTCATTCGATTTGTGTGAGGGCTGTGATACTACCCGGGTGCCCAAACCGAAGCAGGTGGTTTTCTTAGGGGGCCACACCTGGAGCCTTTGACCTAAAGGTTTAGTCCACAAGGCAGTGGAGCATCGTGAGGAGATGCAGTCCCATGGTAGCCGGTGACCAACAGTTGGTCCATACGCCATTGGTTCCTTCAGGATACTGAAGCCCATGTGCACCATCTGTTTGGAATCAGGGTTTTTCCAACTCCCCTGGGTAAACTTACCGTGTCCACCAACCCGGCTAAAGCGCCGGACATTCGCTTTTCGTCCTCTCACTTTTGTGAACAACACCCACGCCACGAGAAGGCAGTGAGTAGGACTTTCCTTTCAGAGGCTATATATTCGCCGGCCATGTGAGAGCATTTCGAGAGGGAGAGTGGACTCTCCCCACTCTCGGCCGTACCAGGGCATTTGGGGGCCATGTAAAAATGTGTATCCACTTTGATTCTTTGGTTTTGTATATTTTTTTCTATACCAACTGTTTCCTGATTGGCTAATATTTCTCGGGGTCACTTCAAACTCGTTCAACGGTCGTCCATAAATTATAGTCTCGCCACCATGGCTTAATAACAGGCTAGCTCGGTACAACTCAGTTAAACTCAGTACAAGTAGAAGTCAGGTAAAATCATCTGATTTGTAGGGATGCTAGGGTTGACTCAATTATCAATAGATTTGGTCGCAACGCTAAATATCGATAATCTGTAATACTTGTCCACTCAGTTAATCGGCTGAAGATGGGCTCAAGTTCCCTCGCCATAATGGGGCGAAGTTAACATATCAAACAGCAAATAGTTGTAGCACCAAAAATAATGAAATTTAACAGAGACGATGGTAAGGAAAGGAGTAATAAATTCACAGAATTAAAATAAGTTTTTAAAATCAAGATCTAGAGAAAAATAAGGTGCATATATACCTGCGTCACACCTGTGCCGGGTTCTACATTGCTGGTGACTGACGCCTCTACAACCTATTCTTAGCCGTTTCTAGTAATGTACTCCAAACAACAGTCTTTACGTATCCCGTTAGGACACTAGGTCAATAAGCCACTAACTCTTAGGCGAGTTTAAAACATAAATAGTAACAAATAAGTTTTAACTTCACTGACAATATATAATAATTTGTAAATATCCGTAGCGCTTACACTAATTCACTCAAATGTCTTAGGTATCTCTCATCGTAATCCCATCACATTGATCTGTTGTCTTAAGTGGAGTCCATTTTCTAGTCTCGTCACTCATTGTTTATTCTGATGTTACTTCTCGTTCAAACTCGTAAGTGATATTATGGATCAGTTATGAGAAAAAATAATAAATAATTTAAGCCCCCAAATGCCCTGGTACGGCCGAGAGTGGGGAGAGTCCACTCTCCCTCTCGAAATGCTCTCACATGGCCGGCGAATATATAGCCTCTGAAAGGAAAGTCCTACTCACTGCCTTCTCGTGGCGTGGGTGTTGTTCACAAAAGTGAGAGGACGAAAAGCGAATGTCCGGCGCTTTAGCCGGGTTGGTGGACACGGTAAGTTTACCCAGGGGAGTTGGAAAAACCCTGATTCCAAACAGATGGTGCACATGGGCTTCAGTATCCTGAAGGAACCAATGGCGTATGGACCAACTGTTGGTCACCGGCTACCATGGGACTGCATCTCCTCACGATGCTCCACTGCCTTGTGGACTAAACCTTTAGGTCAAAGGCTCCAGGTGTGGCCCCCTAAGAAAACCACCTGCTTCGGTTTGGGCACCCGGGCAGTATCACAGCCCACACACAAATAAATGAAATGATGAATTCTATTGACGATACTATTCTCGCTCATACTAGAAGCAAGACAATTTACACTATTATTATTATTATTTACTACGTCGCTTTTTCACTCCCTTTATACCCAAATTGTGTATCCTTCCTTTCCAACTTATGCAGTAGCTCGCCCATGGTGGAAACTCTGTCCTATCTAAACGATCTCCAGTCACTGTCTGGTTGCAAAGTGAATGCTTCCACCGATTACGAATACTGAAGCAGTCTTTCTGAAACCACGTACACCGTTCAAGCTGGCTTCCTTCAACGTTCGCACACTAATGCAGATCGGACAACAGATGGGGCTGGCTATGTCTTTAGAAAAACTTAATGTTGATGTTTGCTGTCTATCCGAGACCCGTATTCAAGACTCGACAGATATTGTAGTACTAGCCGGAGACTTGAATGCTCAGGTCGGGTGTCTAGGCACAGAAGAGAGTCATTTAGGTGGCCGATGGGGACTTGTTGGTCGCAGGACAGATAACGGGGACCGTTTGCTGCAACTGTGCACAGACCACAACCTGTTTCTTGCTAGCACTAACTTCCGGCACAGTCATCGCCGGTGTGCCACCTGGCGTCCTCCCTCTGCATCTCAAGCCTGGACTCAGATTGATCACATCGCGATCAGCTACCGCTGGCGTGGTTGTGTACAAGACTGCCGCTCCTTTTGGAGTACCTATCTGGAGTCTGATCATGCCCTGGTCTGCGCCAATCTCACCTTACTTTTCAGTGGCCGAAGGATTGACCACCACCAACGGGTCGATGTTAGTAAACCGGCTGCAACACCTGTTGCAAGTAAGTATCGAGCGGAGCTAGCCTCTAGGCTAGCTACCATCCCACCGAAAAGTATAGATGAGCATTGGTTGCATCTTCACGACGCCATGAAAATGGCGAGTAAAGCCGCTTGCGGCTTCGCGAAACGTCCCGCTTACAAGCACTGGGTTTCTTCTGGCTCCTTACAACTGATCGAAGCCTGTCGGTCTACTCCGGGTGACCGTGAGTTTGACCACAAACGAAGGCTGTTACGTAATGAAATCGGGCAAAGCTTGTGTAAGTACCGAGAATCCTGGTGGTCGGAGCGTGCTAATGAGATGGAAGCAGCAGCTGCATCTGGTAACTGCCGGAAGCTCTTCCAACTCATCCGAGCCACTGGCAGCAGGAAGTCTGGTGTGAGTGAAACAATCTACGAGGATGACGGGATGCCAATTACTAACATCTCTCGACGTCTTGGACGATGGGCGAAATTTTTCGAAGGGCAGATCAACTGGCCTGCTGCTCCGGCAACATCAACCAGCTTGTCCTGCCCCCCATGGCCGGTGACGACTGTTCCACCAAACGAGGCGGAAGTCCGCAAGGAACTCCAACTCTTGAGGCGCTACAAATCACCGGGCCCAGATGACTTACCTCCGGCTCATTTTAAAGATGGTGGTGACTTTCTGACTAAAGAACTGACGGTGTTGTTTGCAAAGGTTTGGGAGCAAGAAAGTGTTCCAACATCATGGAATGAGTCAATAGTCGTCCCTATCTTTAAAAAGGGTTCGCGTTGTTCCTGCAATAACTATCGGGGGATAAGTCTACTTCCGATTGCGTCCAAACTATTGGCTTCTATCATTCTTCGTAGGTTGTTTAAAACCCGAGAACGATTGACTCTCGAGGAGCAGGCTGGTTTTCGTTCTGGTCGAGGATGCATTGATCACATCTTCACCCGCCGCCAAATGTTAGAACACCGTCATACTTATCGCAGGCCAACAATCGTAGTGTTTCTTGATATCAGGGCTGCCTTCGATTCGTTGGACAGGACTGTTCTCTGGGATTGTCTATTGAAGAAGGGTGTGCCTGAGAAGTTCATTAACATCTTAAAGGCCGTGTATACGAACACCTCAGGCAGAGTGAGGGCATACAACCACCTTTCTCCCTTGTTCCATTCGAGCAGTGGGGTTAGGCAGGGTTGCCCGATCTCACCATTCCTCTTCAACTTTGCCATCGACGACATCCTGGAAACAGCTTTGATGGATGTAAGTAATGGCGGTGTGGATATGTTGCCTGGAGAACGACTTCTCGACCTCGAGTATGCGGATGATATTGTCTTACTGTGCGATAATGCCCAAGGCATGCAATCAGCACTTAATCAGTTGGCAATCAGTGTCCGCAGGTACGGCATGTGCTTTGCACCCTCCAAGTGCAAAGTACTCCTACAAGACTGGCAGGATTCTCATCCTGTACTCACCCTGGATGGTGAGGAGATCGAAGTAGTTGAGAAGTTCGTGTATCTAGGTAGCTATATAAGTGCTGGTGGTGGCGTGAGTGATGAGATTGATGCACGTATAAGGAAAGCCAGATCGGCTTATGCCAATCTGGGCCATCTTTGGCGCCTTCGAGATGTTAGTCTGGCTGTAAAAGGTCGGATCTACAACGCGTCGGTGAGAGCAGTTTTGCTCTATGCTTGTGAAACCTGACCTCTCCGAGTTGAGGATGTTAGACGTCTCTCTGTGTTCGTTCATCGTTGTCTCCAAAGGATTGCTGACATACAGTGGCAACACCATGTTAGTAATGCAGAGGTTCGGTATCGTGTGTTCGGGCGCCGAGACGATAATTCAATTGGTGTCACCATCTTGAAACACCGACTTCGGTGGCTTGGACATGTTTTACGAATGTCGTCCCAGAGGCTTTCACGTCGTGCATTATTTGCCGACTCTGGGACTGGTTGGAAAAAGCGGAGAGGAGGTCAGTGTATGACATGGTGTCGTGGTATGAAAGAAAGTTGCAAAGGGCTAGCTTCTGTTGGTCCTTCACGACTCCCTGGCTGGGGTCCGAGAGATGGTGCAACACAGTGGTTAGAGACGTTATCAGATATGGCTCAGAATAGAAGCCAGTGGCGATCCAGCTGCAACCTTCTTTTACTTTCTACATAAAGAATGGTTCTCACTTTCTTAACTGAAAGAGTCTTCTGGTTGTGCATTTCAGTCCGCCTTATATTTTCATCCTTTCTCTTCCTACTTTCATTATTTTGTGTGGCGCATATGTATCTGGTGCCCTTTTGTACCAATAGATATGTGTTTAAATAAAATAAAATAATAAATAAATAAGAGTAAATATGCGTACAAATGTCATTTTTGTCTACAAATTCTTTATCCTATGTTTTTTGGTCATCTACTTATTTTGTTTCCCTATGTTCAGCACTTAATGTTTAATAAGTTGTACTGAATTTTTTATACCTTTATACAATAGAAAATTTAGATATTTCCTTTCCATGGAATCATACAAGGGTGAAATCATAACTCTCCAAGCGGGTCCTTTAGCTAACCGAGTCTGCGCTCATTATTGGAACTTGCAAGAATATGGATTTTTCAATAAGTCAAGAACTAACGAATGTGAGTTCCCTTTCACGTATAAAGTTCTGTTTGATGATAGTACACGCGAACCAAAACCACATGCGTTAGCCATTGACATACGCGATGTTGTCGATTTCGGAAGTGAACTTGATCCTGATTTAATCCCAACTCCACTCGACATTCCTTCTTGGGACAGTCAAGTGGATAAAGTTGTGCGTTGCCCATCTACATCGACCAAAAATAAACATCATTATAATTGGACCAACTGTTTGTCTCCTCTTGCTCGACGAATATGGTCCCGTAATGATACTGTTCTAAAACTGCCGTTATCATTACAACCTATTCCTGACGAGTCTTCTGTTAATGGAATTCATCAATCTGATGCTGTCTGTAGCCTTTCTACATTTACTGAGGTAATTACTGGTCATTTCATAGCTTTGTTTATTTTTCACAAATATCCAACTTCATTAAAACTCTTTTCTACTATGAAAGCCTTTAAGGGAAAATATATAATATTATAATAATGTATATATATATATATATATATATATATATATATATATATATATATATCTGCAAACATGGCAAAGAATTAGCGACGCTAGTCTACTGCAATCAGTAAAATTTCCGCTGATCTTGTAAGTGGACTCTTTGTCTTACAAACAGAAGAATTTCTTGGCCTAATAGTCAGTGTATTTGAAACCCGATTCTCATGTTCAGTTTCAGTAGGTATGCTTTATGTGAGTTATTTGTAAGTGCATCACTCAGCAACTTACAACTGATTTCTGTTTTCGATAGATATCGAAATTTCAAGCTTTTCGATGCTTTTAGCCTTGCGTTTCAGTCTATATTAATTCGGCGTTTGCGAAACCGAGGTTATACGTCTAAAAGTTCACTCACCACAGTACAGAAACTTCCTATATTTTAAAAGAGAAAAATTTACTGATTGCTGAAATTTCGTATGATCTGAAACACTTGGAAATCGTACATGGTGTGATAAATTTACTAAACATTCCAAATTTCCTTTACTATACTATGTCAGTCAGTCAGCAACAAAGTAGAACTTCGTACGTATGTAAGCGTCTGCAAAACTCATTCTTCACTGAATGTCATAACTGACTGTTATCCGTAAGTTACTATAAGTGCAATATGAATGATCGTCTCAAGTTTTGAAGCTGATGACAAGACTTATCTTTTCTAATTTTTCAAAATTTCCTCTGAACTAATGTCCTCAGATCTCATATTATAGCATATTATAATTTCATGAAATTAAAGAATTATGGCTTAAGAAACAATAACACTTGTTTGTTCATTCATATCAAGTACTTATCGCTGTACATGTGAGGTGTTCAATATCACTAACAACGGTGTATTGATTTCATATCGTTGTTTTGTATCTCTGACGTTTTTCAGGGACAAAATGTATTTCGTTCTGGAAGCAAGGTAGCCGACGAATGTGATGATCGTATCCGTCGTATTTCAGAGCGTTGTGCATTTCCAAACAGCTTCCAACTGGTTGTAGATGCTGAAGATGGCTTCACTGGTATTGGATCTCAGCTTTTAGAAAATATCAGCGAAGAATTCCCAAAGGCGTTCATTTTTTCGGTTCCTGTTTATAACTCATCAGTTGTATCACGTATGGATGCGCGTCTGAAGAAGTTAACCGTAGTAAATCAGTTGTGCTTACTAAATATATTGGAATATGGGGATCTTCTAAGTCATGCATGTTGGTTACCTATAGATGCATCACAGTTGTATGACCATCTTCATCCCTGTAAAAAAATGAGTGTCTTAGCTTCTGTTATTGATACAGTTACAACCCCTTCCAAGTTGGCGATTGAATATGGTGGTATGAGTTTAGATAACTTCTTGTCTGTGACATGTTTTGCACAAGGTAGAAAGGTGAGTTACTTTATAGTTTTGTTGACTAACTTTTTTTGTATGCATGTAATTTCATTGGTTATTAAAATCGATATGAGTGAGAGTATTATAACTTAATTGTCTTTAAAATGACGGACACTAGTACATATATAAGTTAGAGAATTAATATTCTGAGTTCAAACGAACGTTTTGTCAGAATACTTTTAAAGTAGTTTGGTTTTCCAAACAGGTTTACTTAACAGACTCCATTCCGTGTGATGAGTTGTGAGGAATAATGGTTTCAATTATCTGTTATTTCTGAATTCTGTCAAGTTAAACCGTTCATCCGGCATTCATATATGAGCCACACATCAAGTATGACGGCCAATCATACTACCCGGTTGCTCTAAGCGAAGTAAATGTAGCGGTTTCAAACCTTGGACTTAGTGGCTGAATGTTGAACACAGTTGTCTGCTGTTACATATCGTCAATGAAACTTGATTCTGTTCAAGCGCCCAGATAGTGTCACTATAAAACCACCTGAAATTATGGCTCAAAACCAAGTAAATAAACATGTACTCACTTGGCAAATAAGTCAAATTTGATGTATGCATCACATTACTTTTTTGGTGAAATTATCTATTCCAGGTGTTTCCATGTGATTTATTAATATTCATGGTCCATCCAAATAACTTGAGCAAGCTGAAAGTAATTTCTATAGATAATCACTCGATCACGTTATCAAGTCTTCATTTCTTTTTTCTTTTGTACACATTTTTATCATAACAGTGAGATGACATTTGACCATGGTTAGCAATGTTTTAGATATATGTACATTTTTTTCCAGTAAATTGTTAGTGTGTACCTTTTTTGTTATTCACCGATTGATTAGATTGTATCATTTACTTTGGTTTAGTGATATTTCTTGCTCTTTCAAATTAATCTTATTCTTGCACACCACTATTTGAGTAATCACTGTTCTGACCAACAAAAATTTATATCAGTGTATGTTTACTATATATGTTTATATACTATATATGTTTACTATTTATGTCAGTTAATCTCTTTACTGTAAAATTTAATGTCTCATTCTTGTCACTTATAACTTCACCCCCTTCTTTATATGACTCCACCTTTAACACGCAAATACTAATTACTCGTAACTATTATGTTAAATACGTTGCTTTCTCTCTTATACTGAAGAATAGAACTCTGCTTTAGCTTTTTTTAAGGCTTAAGTAATCAGTCAGTATTGTTTACCTTCATACAAAAGTTCATGTGTTAAGATTGAGTTTATCGGTCTGTACTTGCTCACTCAATTGCATAAATCTATCAATGTAACTACCTAAGCTCTGTTTATAACCAGAAATCAACCGTTTTTTTATGTAACACTTATTAACTTCACTATTGTTTCTTTTTCATTGATTCCATTAGATGCTCACTGTACAAACTGGAGTTAATTGTAATGGAATGGTAGATAATCATTTATCATGGTATAATCTTAATCCTTATTACAATCAAGGAAAAGTAATAGCTGGTAAAAATGTACCTTCTGAAGCTGTACTATGTCGTCAGTTAATGTCTCGAGGAATTAAACAGTCTACTCTCTTGAATGATATACGGAATGTGTTCAGTCAAACAGTTGATTCACATAAAACTGTTAACAATTCTTCAATTGGCATAGATATTCCATATTTATGCTCATTAGAATCAATTCATTCAGTTTATTCATTGCCTAACTATCCATTACAAACTGGTATTACTAAACAAACTATGTTATCATCATCTTCAATGCATTGTCAACAATATACAAATACACATATGTCATGTGTTGTTGATATTCCAAATACAAATTCATATGAAGCAAAAATGTTAGAAAAACTTGTAAATTCTTTATTATTGCATAAATCTCATCCATTAGATAGTTATATGGAATTAGAGATATGGAATGATTTTTTAGAGTCTATTCAAACACGTTTAGTTGATTCATATTTGAAACAGTGAAATCAACTTCTATGATAATTGTAAAAAGGAAATTATATTTTTTAAAGACTTTTAGGTTTCTGCATTTAATTCCTTTTGTATATTATTTTCTCTGTATTACTTAGCTTTGATTTGTATGTTAACACTTAAAAATCAGTGTTACATTCTGTTCTGTTGAGTATTGATTTGTTATAAATAGTATTCGAGTCCTGCTGTATTTATTGTAAAGCATCTCACTTTCTAGCGATCGTCAATTTTTAGGTGTTTCTTTGTCATTGATTCAATGAACTGTGTTGGTGGTTTTCGCATCCTTTATATTTTCATGGCGTGGTAACTAGTATCTGTTTTTCAGTATGACTAATCATGTATTAAATTTCGTAACATAACTTTCACTATTCTGTCAACAGAACTGGAAAAAAGTAATTATTTGCGCATAATAGTCATCTTTTATTATTATCGGCCAAAGAAGAATCCAAGATCGAGAATTACGAGTTAACTGTTTTGTTATACTTTTGAGCGATTTGTGTACGGGTTCTAAGTCAGCTACGAAATCAAATTCATTCATTTATTGTGTTGGTATTCAGGTGTCTAAATTCCAACTATTTGCGGATATTATTTGACCATAATATAATGCTACCAATAAACATACATTCTCTGACTAAGAAGAAACAGTTTGTGGTAAGAGTATAATATAAAGCGGATGAGTTTTCTAAATAAATACACCGTCTGTTTAATAACGGTTATCATGGCAATTAATATACGAAACCTAAGAAATTGTCTCAAAGCTAGTCCACTACAATCCCGTAGATGTCTATGGTGACCGTAATTCACTGACAGTCATGCTATAGAAAACCGGTCATATCACTACGTTATGAAGAACTGGTTGGGAAAACTATTTCAGTGCCTATAATGTCGGCGTCCCTTTTACATACAGAAGGACTTGAAAGTTATTGCATTAAGTTTACTGAGTATAGTTGATCATACTTAGGTCTGCAACATGGAAGATCGGCTTATAAGATTGTGACTCTTTATCGACTGTGCTACGTTGGTATATGCTCGTTTCAGATGCTAGGTGACATGCCTCGGAATCGGCCACAATCACACAGATGCATTTACTCTTTATCTCACTGTTGGTCCTGATTCCCAAAATTATTATATACTTTTTATTTTGCGAACACATTTTTCTCGAATCATATTCTTTATCAGTATTTTTTTGCTACCATCGATACTTCCATTAGTTTGATGTTCATCGTGATAATTTCATGTAACTGTGTTGTTGCATTGTAGGAATTTGAATTTATTCGCACACTTAATTGTTTCTAGTTTATTTGCGACTGACAGATGCACATAACGATCATCTAAATCTGCAGCTCTTTCAGATTTTGGTTACATGAAGATTTATAAATTTTAAATGCCTCAATGTAACTAACCGAAATATCACAAAAGTTATTCAAAAAAGTAACTAAATAGATGATGAGCAACTTTTTGTTTCAATAGATAAACTAGCTTTTGTACAACCGGATGTTTTCTGTTAATCATTGGCAAGTTTTATGCATACTTCATCATTGGATTTGGCTGTTTCATTGAAAGCAGTTGATTTATATTGTTATGATAATAAATGTATGAACAAATTATTGATATTATCTGTGATTCCATAGAGATGTACACAATTCTTCTTTTAATTAGTAATGCATTGGTGATAGATTTTGAGAGAAGGTATTAAAAATAGCGTGAATAGTTATTTCATAATTATAATGGCAATAGTCATAGCTTTTCAATAATCAGCAGATTTTAATGTTGCGTGTAACTATTATCAATTATTTGCTGAAATTCTTTGTCCTATGTAACAATATAATTGGTAAAACTACGTAGAAATAAAATTAATATTCTTTTCCAGTAAAAGGCATTAGTTGAAAGCTATGAAACACTAGAAATTTGTTTATCCTGTTTTTGCGTACACTATGTAGTAAATCCATGATTGAGGGTTTTTGATTGATAGTGATATCAATCGTTTGGCTAGAGGTAGATGCTTTGAATCCTAGAACTTCAGTCAACTCTATATACAGTGGTAAATTCCCTTCCTCAGTGTCATCGGTGGATATCCGTCCTCAATGTTGTCTGGGTTTACTCTATAGAACATAGTTTCCAGAAAGGACTTGATTAGCATTGGATATAGAGAACTGATTCGTTTGCAGATACTCTTCACCAATGGATTAATATAAGCTTGATAGCGATTGATAATCAAACAGAACTGGGCAACCATCGATACTTGTCCACTAGAATGAAAGTTTCCTAAAAGTTATGAAACTGAATAAACTTGTAACAAAATACGATGCAATCGAGAATTTCTAAAATTCAGTTGCTAAACAAAGATGCAACACTAAATTAAGTATTACTTTTAGGGTTTACTGATAATAGCTGCTCCACAGCATTCAAACACTTCAATTGTGTATTTTACTCATTTTTCAAAGTCGATTGATCATTATGTTTTCAGTTTTTTTTAATTGTCTTATTAACCCCCCATACAATCGATACACTAGAAAGATAAAGTCGATGGTCACTTATATTTGTAAAAATCCATAAAAGTAAACTTTCGCTTATAATTTTTGTTACTTAAGGTCAAGAAAATCTTTACTTAACCGTGTCACAGTTTTCTTCAGGTCGTATCACCTAATGATTTTGACAGATAGTAGGATTGTTTAGTTTGCAACAAAATAATTTTATAATTAATACTTGTTGCAAGCATTAAGTACGGTATATATTAAATTATTGGGTCATGGATATTCACTGAACTTTAATGTGTTGATCACTGTGATAGCAACTACTGAAAAAAATTTACTTGGTTAAAATTATTGAGGAACTTATTTCAAACTCTTTTGAAAGGGTATGAAAAGGCTGCATAAATTATGCCTTACAATCAGATAAGTAGTATAATATTTTCAGTTAACAAAATGTTCGGGGTTTGTTATTATGTTCTTTTGAACAAACAATAGTATATACTCAATGTTGTCTACAAACTTGATTTAGAGGATGTCCACTGAGATTTTTTCAAGAGAGAAATCTGTCGTTCGTCGAAATGGTCATCAGTCTGACTTTATTTTTCATTCCTTGATTTATTGAATTTCGACTAAAGAAGAGCGGTCTCAAATAATTCTCAGCGATATTATAAAAAGAACTTTTGAAGTATTTTTTTAATCAGTATCACTTGAATTAAAAATTCGTGTTTAATGATGTTATCGTTATAGATTTTTCTTCTATTAGGCTAGCTTAATTTGTAACATCTGTTTTCTGTTGGTGTGCTAGTTAAAAATTTCATCTCAGTCCTCTCTGTAAATTGAAGAAAGATTCTTTAAATTCATATGAATTACACTTGAAAAAAGCATATTATTCCTCGTTACAATTGAACTCCACAGATACCTTGTGGTAAGATTTCCTTAAAGAATAATCATTTTGTCACAACTTACTGTGTATTAATTTCCGTCTACTCATTCCAAGTGATGGATCAAAGGTGCTTTAACGAGCTAAGAATATATGATTTTTATTGTTCACATCGAATTTTAGAGTGACGAATACTTAGTCATGTAACTGTTAATTTATCAAGGAAATTTATATAATTGAACTTCAGTTTTACAGTACATTATTATCTAAACAAAGAATATCTATGTATTATTTATACGGTACTTTGCTCTCATCCTCCAAATCTTATAATTATGCACATATGGTAATAGCTACTAAGTGTCATCAAATCGTTACCTTCGACATGCCAATTTTTGTCACTGTTATCAATGATGAGACTGTTCTGAGATTTAAAAGATGATTGAACTTAGCTACCTTTGAGAATAAAGTAGGATTCAGAATTTGGTAACTATTTTAATCAAGCACGATAAGCAAAGATGGATAGTGGCTAGCAGTGGAATCCAGGACGCGCGTTTCGTCCTGTTTGGGACTCGTCAGCTGGATGTACCTGCATCTCAGAGTTGATGTTCACTCTGGGACTCGAACCCAGTACCCTCGCTTCAAACGCCATCGCGTTATCCACTCGGCCACTGAGTCCTGATAGCCACTTGCTTGTGCGATGGGGTGAATTTTAAATTCAATTAGTATTGTTTGTTTGAATCTTCCCATCGATGTGTTAGGACTGCAACTGGTCAGTCTCTAATTGGCATATGTGCATACTGTGCGTATTGCCTCGATATAGCCTTGATTCACAAGCATGATAAGCAAAGATGGATAGTGGCTAGCAGTGTTGATATTATTATTATATCAAGATGAATTAAAAAAATTAAGCAATTATCCGTAAGTCACTGGATAATACTGCAGATATCAATTGATTGTGGCATAATCACACTTTCGATATATATAGTCATCTGGATGAGCGAAAGATGTTGAAATACTCCTTTTATACCTTTTCAGGATATCGTTAAATAAGCAAGATTAAAGCTGATTTGTTTGTATCATCTATCTTAAAATTGATTTTGAACGGAGAGTGGTAGAGAACTAATAAAAATTCGTAAGATTTGAGTGAGTATTCAATATTTAAGTCCCAATTTAATAGTTCTAATCACTGAATAATATAAGATAATCGGATAATCAAGTTTCGGTTGGAACTTAGATTTACCAATTCACGTTACTAGTACAATCTGACTATATGTAAGTTAATGAAACTGTTCAAAATTATATTGTATGGAAAAACATTCTATTTAATTCTAATTGTAATCATTAAATACCGACCAGTTAACTAACAGAATGCGACTATTTGGAGGCCGTCTTCCTTGTAATACAGATTTCTTCTGCTTGTTCATATGATAGTTCTTAATGTATATCTTCAGAATTGATAAAATGGTTTCCAAATATCGATTTTTTCATAGTCAGATCGACTACTTCACGTTGCGAGATTTTTAAAATATCACCTATAGTCTCGTGCTTCATTCACATGATACCAACGTCTGCTACTGAAAAGTTTGTTCCGAAATTGTCTATACAATGAAACTTATGCAATGGATATCATGATAGAAATGATTTGTATCAATAATTGTTAAAAAAAAAAGAGTTGGTTGTAATTAGTTAAACTTATTGAAACCTTTAGAAATATTCTTGATTGTAGATAAATGAAAATTCTATATGTCTGGTTATTTCAAAAAATGAAATCAATGTTAACCAACTAACATTCCATGATAATATATACATATCTCTTACATTATTAAATAATGCTGGTTATAATATATATATGGTCACCGGGTACCATGGGACTGCATTTCCTCACGATGCTCTACTGCCTTGTGGACTAGACCTTTAGGTTCCGGGTGTGGCCCCCTAAGAAAACCACCTGCTTCAGTCTGGGCACCTGGGCAGTATCACAGCCCTCACACAAATCAAATGATATATATATATATATATATATATATACCATCTTAACAGAATATCAATATTTTATGGAAGATGCATAGTAAATGTAATATTTATTGTTAGGTTCATTTGAATGTAACCATTAATATCTATATTTATATCTTATGTTTTGTAATTCATTATTAAAAAAATAACAAGAAATATAGATTGATCAATAAATGTCATCTTTTGTCAGTAAAACAAAGTTTGCAAGAAAACAAGCATTGAAATATGTAAACCGACAATAATGAAATTGAATCGTACTTGTCAACTTGATTAACGTCAGAGACTAAATCTCATTTCTTTTTTTATAAAAAAAACGTGACTATAAACACCGTCACATTAGGTATAGATTCAGGGAATGTAGAAAGTAATATTGGTATTATTACAGAGCTAAATCAAGTAGTGTTGAATTTTAGATCAATACTTACCTACTTAAACCTGTTATTCCCAATGGAGCGTGAGCCGCCGACCAGCATTTTCCAACCCACTCTGTCCTGGGCCTTCCGTTCTAGTTTTATCCAATTGTTGTTCATTATTCTCATATCTGTTTCCGATTCTCGGCGTAATGTGTTCTTTGGTTTTCCTTTGGTCTTCAGGACTCCATGTGAGGGCTTGCCTTGTGATGCAGTTGGGTACTTTTCTCAATGGGTGTCCTATCTACTTCCAGCGCTTCTTCCTTATATCTTCCTCCGTTGAAATCTGTTTTGTTCTCTCTCACAGTAGGTTGTTGCTGATAGTGTCTGGCTAACGGATCCGAAGTGTCTTGCGTAGACAACTGTTAATAAACAGCTGTAACCATTTAAAGATGTTTAGCTAATATGCCATATTTCAAATTCTGTTTATAACGGTGTTTGAAATATTTCATATTGAAGATTCACATTTAACACTTCATTTAAACACTGAACAAATTATTTATCTAGTGGTTCAAAGAAAATAAAGCTTCATCCAGTTTTCTTCTAAAACGCTTTAACATTTGCTTCCAGATATCTTTTATTATCGATGTTAAATTACGTATTGGAATTGAAACAATCAAGTGGTTAACACTTATGTTCTACTATGTTCTAAATTTCAATCGAACCAGTATGAAGTTTACTCTGAAAATTAAGGCTTGATATACTTCTACTTATTCTTATTCCATAGTATGTCTACTATGAATATTTCTAATTTTTCTTAGAATTAAAATAATTATCATTACGCTTTGTCAAGTTTAAACCTAATTTGTCAAACTTTTGACTAAATTCTGAAAAAGCTAACAATTTCAACCTATATCTAATCATAGTGTATAACTAGAATGATATCTTCATATTGTCTTGCCTGTTACTATTGTCCCAACGTAATATAAGTTAAGAGCAATAATTATTTACCGATAAATTAATATAAAGATTTATTAACTATGAAGTTGATTTTGATGTTTTCTGGTTAGCGTTTTTTTAGAGAGTTAGTTTTCT